GGTGGCGGTTGAGTTATTGTATTCGGTGGATCGTCGGTTCCGAAGTAAACTTGGGGAAAAGTGAAAGTGCGAACAGTGGAATATTTTGCAAATTCTTCTCCGCTGTCGTGTTCCCGGGGGAATCTCAGGCGATATGTCCCTCGGAAATCTCCGCCAAGATCGTTTGATTTCCCCACCACTCGACGGAGCTTCCCGGAGGCAATTCCCAAGAAGTTCACTATCGACGCTGTTTTTATCTCTGTCACTCCATGGAAAAATTTGTCAACGGTCATCTATGCTTCTCATGGATGCCTGAATGTTCCTTTCCGTAATTCAGCCGTTCGATACGGACGCTTGCCGGTCATCTTGGGTACCTTCGCCGTCGATGCTCGACCGAACGGCTTCCTCCAATGCTGCTCGACGTCTGTCTTGTGAACGGTGGAATGGAACGCAGAAAATTATTCATGAAAGATTAAAGCGATCTGCCCTCATTCTGAGACGTTCAGAGAATTCCAGAAGGTTCATCGTGGTCCGATCCGCGCGCATGTATCGTCTTTCATGAATGGTTGAAGATACATCGTCCACAGAGCTACGCTGCGTTCGTATGCCAATTCAGACACAGCTCCACCCTAGAATATCAACTGTTCGAAATGCACAAGGGCCTGTCTGCCGCTCGGCTTCTGCAGACGTCAATGTGGGAATATCTGTATGAAGGATGAGAGCTAACGATTCCTCGAGTGGGATTCTCCATCCATTGGGATCGTCCGCGGCAGCTGCATTTACTTTGCGAGGCGTCCTCCCAAACGGGTTCCGTCTCTTAATCTGGGGGGGCTCGCGGTTCTATGAAACGCTGCCTCCGAAATTCCAACTCCTCGGGCTCGTCAGAGTTTCGAGTCGAGCCTCTCGGCGTGCGGAACCGCAGGAAGACGTCCCTCGAGACCTCGAAGACCGAAGCTGTTCGGTTTTAGCGGCATCGGATTCCCAGTTCCGTAGGTCTGTCGGTCGCTCGTGCCGTCGGTCGGTTGCTCGTTCTTTCCGACGGACGGTCGGTTAGTCAGTTAGTCAGTCAGTCAGCCAAGCAGCAGTTGCCACCGTCGGCGTCGACGTTGACTGGGCCGCCTCCGATCTTTTTCTGCTACTACGGTTTGTTCAATTTTTGAATGGTCTTGATTCATTCTCCTCTCGTTTTCCGGGGCCGCTGACTCGCTTCAGAAGCTGAAACTGGCGAAATCATCGACGTGGAAAATCTTCGTTCGAGCGTCTGTTCTTCTTCGCGTTCCTCCTTTTTGTCGAATTGATGTTCACAATCATTAAAAATCACTGTTTCACTCTTTCGCGGAATTCTCTTGTTGAAGCTTTGCCGCCGCAAGAACCACTACTACTAAAGTGGAGAATACGAAACATTTAACGACGCCCTTCTTTCCAATCGCGCGGCTCTTCCCGGCTTGTTCTCCACACTTCCCATGCGAATTTCGGGAAAACTAACAAACGAAGACACCGCGCCGCCCGCGCTGCCAGTCCCATTCGTCATCCTGACATCTTGCCGGGAGTCCTCAATAGAAAAATTCCTCGATCGGGAGGGGAAATGGGAGAGTTTGTATAAAAACCTACCACGCTAGAAGCAACACTTATCCATACACTCAAGCATTTTTCCGGAGCATCGGGTGAAATAAGGAAGCCCGGATCGCTAGGACTATCGTTGTTCCGTGATTCAAGTTTTCCCGAATCGGGGCCTTCAGTTGGACTTGAAATCGGTATGCAAGCGAGTCTGAGACAACGGGATCTCGTAAAAACGGTCACCGCCGCAACGAATTCATTGTATTATGTGCTGGGGATCCTCTGAATCGCCCTCTGACACTGGGAGGATCAGAATTCGCCGGGCGAAGACAGGCTGAAATCAGAAATGCCAAGGTGTAGTGACACGGCACCAGACGGCATTGGTTCCTGAGGTTTCATAGCTGCGCGCTTGGAAGTCCTTCCATGATTCCTCTAAAAATACCTGCTATCCCCGATTACGTAGTTCCAGGTTTTCGAAGTGTAAAGCAGATTTTTACTCAAATGTTCACCGGAGTCGAGAAACTTGCTCGTCTGATGATCAAGCAAACAAATCATTAGTGAATGTTTTTTCTTTCGTTGGTCTCCGAGCTCCGTCGAAGCGGGGTCGCAACACATGTTTTTTTATTCGAAATTCGTCGATTTTTTCCTATTCCCTCTCAGGGAAGCTTGCTATGTCCGCTAGATTCACAAACGTCTTCGTGGGATTTCAATCTACCCATTTCATTGATTTCTCAGGCCCTAAATGCACTTCAATACGACCGGTGACCTTGGTCAGTGAATTTTGTTTCTTCCTCACCCGCCATGACTGTCAACGAACACACGATGTCGTCTTGTAATTCTCGCTGAAAAGGTGCCCGCTGGCCGGATTGTGGCATCTTTTCGAAGGACGACCCCAGTAGTGGGGAAATCGCGTTTGAAAGCTGCAGAAACACTGCAGCCGATCGTCACGTAGACGACAAGGATACGACGCTCGTTCATTTGGAAAAACGGCGGACCTACGTACGCGCATCCATCCGAAAGGCCCAGATAGGGCATTCGGCAGAGGTGAAATCCCAGCTGGGCTATTCATTAACTCAGACGGTCATTCTGTCGGATATTCTGCGCGCTGCGGGATTGCTGCGGGAATCTTCATAGTCTTTCTATACGCAAGCTCTTCGTAGAAAGCCGATCTGAGGGGCTGAAGGCAGGCTGCGTGTAGAAACGAATTCAAAAGATCGCTTACCCTCCGGTCGTCAGCTTCATAGAACTCGCCCCGAAGTTGCGCGGCGGGTTTTCTGCGGGTACTCTGGAAATGAGGTGGGCGAAACAGTCGAGAAGTTGCCAAATAATACAGAGCTAAATTCAACGAAAAGTTGGAATTTGCATTTTCGCTCCTGCCAGACGAGCTGGTTCTTTCTTTCAACTGTGTTTTCTCACGAGCACAATAGTCTGGGGGCGAAACTGAATCGGTCCTAGAGAGTGCGTACCACATCCGACCGACTGAGGATCGCCGTCACCACTCGACAAAAGTTGTCGACGTTCATTTATTGGCGGTAACCGATCATGGGCGTCCTATCGAACACGCTGGGCGTATCAAGCCGTACGTGTTCCTGGACGGTATCTCCCGTGTCAGTGGGATCGAGAGCTTTGTAATCATCTCAATCGGAAGGGACGAAGCAGACGAATACCTATCTCGAGCCTCAAATGAGCAAACAGACGCTCGGACTCCAGACACATTAGTGATGTAGAAACTTCAAAATGTTGGAAAACACTAACAAGAGCGCAAAAAGCTTGCTTCATGAGGGCGCAACATCGGGTTGCAACATGTCAAAACATAGCGGCGGGTAGAGTCGCAACAAACCTCCACGCATCAGAATTGTTTGTTCCCGATATTAGTCCGCCCTGAGAGCGATTTCTACAGGGTTGGCCGCCAAGCCTTCAGAGTCCCCCCAAATGAGAATCAGCAGGGAAGTTCGACATGCAAGCGCGCCCGACTGGTGCCCGGAATGGTCGCCCTGGTCGTCAATTGCAAGAAGCCGAAATCAAGGGTCAGTCGGATGCAATGTGGAAATTATTTTTTGGGGTGAGGCGCAGCCAGATGCGAAACGGTGATTTCTCTATTTATCTCCAGTTTTAATGTGCCAGTCGATTTCAGACTGCTCACACGCATTGAGGGGTGCCGATACACCAGCCGTCGAGCGATAGGCGTCGCGTGGTGCTGGTCGACGACGGCGGCGGTGCTAGCAATGATACAATAATGCAGCATGGGATAACAATATCAAAACGAAACCTAGAAAAAATCCTCCCACTTGCAAAAAGTGGCCGGGGCTCACGCCCAACCGCCCGACGTTGCCAACTACACTGATTCCGACAGCAAGTGGAGAGAAAAATTGTGGAAAAAAAAAACGCTCCTTCTGCATCTCAATCTGCCAGATCTGTCTCATCCCCGACTCCTATCCAGATGGGGAGCTTTGGCAATCGTCTTTGTATGTCTGCTTCAGATATAGTCGACAGCGAGTTGAGGAGACCCTAGACCCTTCTTGTCTGGGAAGGATTTTTCTGACTTATTCCACCAGCGGGAGCTGTGCGCGGAGGGACCCGACCGCCCGCAGTATGGAATCCTTGTAACTTCATCTACACCGATAGAGGGCTCGCCGGTCCTTCCTTCAATTAGCTTGCTGGTTGTTCAGAGGAGTGCGCGAACGATTACGTACGAAGCCCGCATTACGTGCTCGGGAAAAAAGCGGTGAGAGATATCTGCCACCACAACCCCCGTATTCATAACGCACCCTCAAAAAGGTGTGCGCCGCGTGTCTGAAGAAAAGTGCTGCATAGTCCGTCTGGCACCCTGAGTCTCTTCTTGGGATGGTCGCCATTGGACAGCGTGGAGCCGACCAATCGGACAGCGAGGTGTCAGTGTTGTTGCCAAAGTATTTGATTTTTGATGGGCACCTTTGTATGACCGAAACCTTGAACATCTCAACGTCAGCTCACTGTCTTCGGCTCTCAATTTGGCTCCTAGAGCGGGCGATACTTGTAAGCACAGCTGTAGTGGAGCCGAGAGAAAGGAAGGGAATGACAGCGACGTTAAACGTCGGAAGTGTTTTCGCGTCGATGTCTTAGCGATTCTTCTCAAAACATCTTAACTCCATGGAGAGATGATGCGGAGAAAGGAAGGAGGGGTGACACACTGTTTCGACAACGTCTTTGTCATTCTGTGTTTCAACACCTTTACGCAACATTCAATCAAGGAGCGTTCTTCTTCTCATTTTCACGCTGACTTGAGCTCTATTTACAAAAAAACGCGACCCGTCCAAAATCTGTGGCGCGCGCGAAGCCTCCAAGATGACGCGGCACAAAACTGCCTGATGTCTCATTTCTTCTCTTACCGGGAAAACCTGCACAGCTCAGAATCCGCAATGGGTCGAGACTTTAACGAATATGATCGAATTTTTGAAACTAAGCTCGATTCTCTCCTGTTCCAGCGTCCGCATTGGAAGCGAACTCAACGCAGCACCCGTTCACGTTGAGCACATTCGTTGTTCCGGCCTCGACGTCACCGGCTCCAGAGGCGAGCTCAAGTCATCAAGCTGTTTTTCCGCTTTCGTCAGACGCAGTGACCGAGGAGGTCCTCCAGGATGACATGGTCAATCCAGTCGAAGCCGTTGTCACAAAGCGACCGACGAGAAGGCCCATGCCGGTTTTGTATCGGCACGGAAAAATCCTGGAAACTTCTCGTCGTGTCAGCCAGGAATCGATGGGGAGCTTTCCGAAGGTAAGAACTCTCTGACTCGACTAGGCGAGTCAGCTGCTGCATCGCATTCTGACTGCGTCGCGTCGTATTCTGCAATTCAAACCTAAGGGTCAACAATAGATTATATTTCCGGAACAATCAGACATGTCACTCCTCCCTGAATTTAAATTACTCGGGATGCGTTTGATCGATCCCTGGAAGACTTCGCATGGCCGCATCTTCGAGCAGCTCTCAGCTCCATCAGATAGCGGTAGCATGATGGCTTCGAAACGACACCTCAAATCTTTCACCGAAGATTTCCCCTAGGCTATAAACAGTTGGGGCTTCCCTTAGCCCCCACTGTTTAAAGCTTTGTATTTCACAAATCACGCGCGCGCTTAAACGGCATAAAAACAAAGCCGTTTTTACCCCTCATTCATTGAACTTTTTTTCGTGGATGTTGGAATCCGAATGGGGAACTCTACCACGACGACCCGTCGATGGTGGCAAAAGCCGTTACGACGTTCGTCTGCCTGAGTGACGCGACAGGAAACATTACGCTGTTTACTAATCTCGAAACGTTTGCCATTTCCCAATAAGATCCAAAGAAAACTCTCACTCCTCGAAAATATTCATTGTTCATTCTCTCCCCCGAAGAGTTACATGTTTACGAAACGATGTTTGGAAGTTGAAAATATTTTTCCGCCACCTAGGCCGTGTCCGACGGCTCAATCGATCCCTCACGTTATACACGCGCAGCTCGTTGAAGAACTTCCGCCCCGACGAGCGTTCTCAGAGGATTCTCAAAAGAAGCCTGTCCGTCGGTCAGTTGCCGCGGGAATTCCTGAAGGATGAACGCGACGATGTTCTCTCTTCAGGACTTCAGGCCCCTGCGATTGATCGGTGCGGAAGCTTCCTCAGTGAGTGCGCGACATTCAAAAAATGAATCAGTCAAAATAAATGCGAAGATCACGCAGCCGAGGGGATGCAGCAAAGGAACAATCCCGCTGTAAAAAGTCGATCGATCAGGCCCACACGCGACTAAGTGATTTATTAGACAATGAATACGATAGATAGTAATCAAACGATATACATACCTACTTTGCATGACCCTTCGCTTTCGATTTTCTCACACGCGATCCTCTTCCGCGGGTCCATCGAGTTCTGCCCGTCATTTAATGTGATGGATGGGAAATCACTAACCATGTCAGAACTGCGTTCTGCGATTCATGATTCAATCGCGGCAGCTCAGATCCAGCAGTGACTCTAGCGAACTCATTCAAATGCGCAGACTCTTCGAATTCAGGAAGGAGCCTCCCATTTTCAGCGAGTTTCCTGTTCCATTCCCCTCTCCTTCACTAATTATTCCCAGTGATAGAATTCGACCGACCTGACAGCTATCTCACTTCCGAGCTCCTCGCGACGGGCTCCGTCGCTCCGCTGCAATCTCATTGTTCGAAAGGGGACTGGAAATTTATTGCCATGCGCCACACGCGAATGCCGGAAATCAGTGTTTGATCGGCTGCGCCTCGTTTTCGCCGCTGCTCTGCTTCGTGAAATTTCTTTCCCGATTCCCCCCTACTCCATCGATGGCTTATCTGAGTCGACGTGGAGAATCAAGAATTTCCAGGTCACCGGGGAAAAACTAAGAAACAAAATGGTCACTTCTCTGAGCATTGAGTCATTCTTTCATTCCGTTTGTTCGTTCGTTCCTCCATTCATTGGTATTCATTGAACATCGGCATTCGGCAAGCTGAATACATAATAGAATAGCTTGAATTCCCGAATTCTCTTTGCTTGTTATTTCTAGACGTTTTTCCGCCCGTTCGGATTCCCCTTCATTCTTTCTCCCCTTTCAAGAAAAAAAATTTCCATTCCTCTCCTCGGCTTGGAGCGCAAGCCAGACGCGGAAAGTGGCCGAACTTCGGACGAGCCAGACGGTAGCTATCCAGTCTGTGCGCCAAAGTGCTCTTGCTTTCCCCCGTTGTCGTTGTTTTCCACAATGCGGGCACGCAGCCGGCAAACACTTCGCTTGTTCTCGTTGTCTCAACTCGGGCCGGCGATCTGAGCGGATTCTCGCTCGCTTGCCCGTTGTCTCCGCGCCGCGCTCTTGAAGGGGCTACCGCATCCGAACTCCGTTCCACGGCAGTGCCTGCGGACGAATAGGAATACCTGCGGACGAGCAAACCTTAGCCGAAGACACAAATAAATACATGCAAACATATACTACAGGAACATCAGATAACGTAACGCACGCGCCAGCCGGATACGAAGGCAGGGCCCCGCTCGTGGTCGTCGAACGTGGGTCGACTCGCGGATTTTCGTCGATTTGACCGACGAGCGTCGTCCATCGTAGTCTAGTGTGTGTGGACAGATTCATTCACGAATACTTCAATATCGACCGGAAGCTCTTCCGGGGTTCAACACTCGACGCCGGCCAATTCCGAACGCGCAAGCAGAGACGCGCGATCCATTACGCTGGACAGACCACTGAAGCCTCTTTGATCGTCGAACGAATCCATGGGCTGTGAATAATAGTCGGCTTGGGCAAATACTCCGGAATAACCTAGTTTGCTCATCCACTTACGTTCGATTGAAACCGTTTCCTTCTGCTCTTCGCAGGTACAACCGCTACGTCCGCATCGGCTTGGGCTCTATCCGACCGAGCTGGGACCCGTGTTCGAAGCGCCGAGCTCTCAGACGGAGGACCCGAGTCCCGTCCTGCCCTCGTCGTCGCTCATGGAGACCTTCATGGCTTTCGAAGCGGAATCCAGCGCTCCGCCGGCAGCCGCCTCCACGTCGAGCACCGTCGACCCAAAAGACGTCCGGCCCACCCGAACCGTATCGACGCCCTTGGTAATAACCGAGGCGAAGATGGCCAAAGTTCAAAGCGTAGACTCGGGCAAAATCGACAAAACCGTCACTCTTCTCGGGTTTGTCGACTTCACGACGTCGCTATCTGGAACAAAAATCATCTTCAAACCAAGCGCTACGAGACGGCCAGAATCACCTCAGGAACAGGTGCCCATCGTGAAGCCGTCATCGACGTCATCATCGTCGACGTCCTCGTCGTCCCCAAACTTCGACCATCTGTTCAAGAAGTCGAAGGTGCAGGAGATCAAATCCTCGAAAGCCTCTCTGTCCAGGAAGTTCCCTTTCAGAACGACGTTACGTTCATCTTCCGTACAACCGTCTCAGACTCAGAGCCGGAGCGAAAAGTACAAGACCGGCTTGGTGAGGTCTAAGACCGGCACCACCGTGAGAGACGGTGTCACAACCGAGTTCACGACGTTGATTTACGGAACTTTCATCCAAGGCAGTTACGCCCACATCATTCGGAGCACGTCGTCGATCTACGCAACTCCGACCATGCAGAACCCTGGGGTTTCGATGACGACCATGGTCGGTTCCGAGACTTCCGTAGCTCCCGTGGGCCGACCTCTTTCGTTTCCTGAAACGAACGGAGACTCGGAGCTCCAAAACTCCGACAGTGTCGTGACATTCGGCAAGAGTTCGAGCGTCGTCCCCAGCGCTGTGATCATAACAGAGGGCTTCATTCTGCCCAGCGAAGCCGAGGTCGCCTCAATTCGGCCGACCTCGACCGTTGCGTCGAGAGACTCGACTGTGAAGATCGGCCACGACTCATCCGCCATGCAGAAGATTTTCCAGAACGAACTCGACTCGTCGATGAAACCTCCAGCGTCCTCATCGTCGCAGTCGTCGTCGAGCGATGCCGATCTGGACAGCATGTTGTTGGCCGATCCCTCGGGATCGTCGATGACTTCGATCCAGTACGTCACGCCAAAACGCGTGGATTCCTCGAGTATCGAGCCTACATCTGTCACGCTCTACACAACGTACACCCATTTCACAACGATGTACAACAGTGGCTCGGCGAGCGTTTTCAGTAATCACGAAATAGTTTCAAATGTCCACACCATGATGCTGCCCAAGGCAGTGTCTGAACCTGTCAACGAACCGAGCCAAGAAGCGACTAGTGAAAGCATGCGACACATGATATTGATCGTATCGCCCACGCAAAGTCGTGCACCCGAATCCGCGTCGGATACTCCCGGCTCCGCCGAAGCCGAATCGACCCCGTCGCTCCAGGCTTCGGACTCGATCGCTGAGACCCCTGCACTCAGCAGCTCCTACGACCTGACAACGTACACCTACTACACGACGTTCATCAAGAAGGGGAAAACCTCGATAACTAGTCGAACTTCGGTGAGTACTCGCCTTCTGAGTTTCCTTTGTCTGCACATTTTCCTCCGCGCAACAATTCTTTGCCGATGACGTTCATTGATCGGGTTCGATCGCATCGAGTGTTTAGGAGCAGGCCGCCGAGGGGTTCTTGTATTTTTGTTGGTGTTGTCGTATGTGAGGCAGGCATCGTCTTGATTTCTGCCACGCTGCTGTCCTTGCCATCCGTATTGCATGCTTCTCTGGTGGGGTTAAGTGCTTTGTGTAATCGCCAGCCATAAGCTGTGTGTATGAAGTGATGGTGGTAGAATAACATGCTCGCTTCTGCGACGTAGAGCTCAGACTGCCAGTTCCACCTTTTCTGCTGTTGCTACCGTTAGATTCTTGCTTCACTCGAGTTTCACTTTGTTGATGGCCCACTTTGTCATCGCTGCTGCCCTGTTACGTGACATTTTCTTCCCTGAATGTCATTCGAGCAGCTGAACGCCTGGCCCTCAGAAGGATTGTGTGAGCGGCAAGCTGGTCCGCCTGTCCCTTTGCCCGCCCTTTCGTTTTTCTTTTTTGTGGGCGCCGACTTCCCGTTGACAGATAATAAGCTTAGCTACAGTGAGCGGAGAGAGAACTTAACACTCGGTCCCCCGATATCTCTCGTCCCAAGAAGCCCGCAGAATCGGCGAGGACGACCGGCAGCGAGCTCAACAGGTTCATTTCCATCAAAAGTGGCGAACGTTTGCTGCTCGTAGAGCCGGGATCTGTCCCGCGTGCACGGCGAGTTTCAGCTGAGAAATCGCTCGCCACTCCCAAGCTTCATCATTTGCTACATCGGAACCGAATACTCGTTTTTCTCGTGCGCTTAAATTCGGAGGGAAACGAGTCACCAGACGTTCGATTCGACTATAGCTGGGGGTTCTTGCAGTTGAAGTTTAGCTCATCGAAGAACGCCTCTGATGGGATGATGAGGTCCGGGACCAGGATACTTCGCATGTGCGGTCTCCGCGGCGTGATCATTTTACTGGGATAATTCGGCACGTTGAGCATGGGAGTCGGGGAGCGCCCGAGGCAGCTCGCACGCGAATCACGAAGCGAAATTATTCCGCTCATTCCCAACTTCGACTCTGTTGCTCCGTTAGTTTTGCCCTCTCGGGTCAGAGATAGCACGACCACTTGGGTGGCTTCCTTGCGTGAGGTCCTTCGACGTGTGTTCGGAACCGCCCCATATACGATCTGGCCCACTCCGTCAGTCGTTAATACACACAACACTCTGACGATCGTCGTCCGAGTGTCTCTGCGCTGATTATTTTTGCGGCCATCCTGATTATTGTTTCGTTCGGCCAGTTCGCCGGGAACCTTGACGTCGTCGCCCTCTTGCTGACATCGGGTGCCCTTTGATGCAATGCAATTGCCAGCCAGAAGTCATTAGTCATTACTTATCCTTTTTGTCTAACATGAAAATAATTTTTTGACTCGGCTTTCCTGCGAGCTCCCGTCTCGACAAGAGCCTACGACGACGATCTCGCTGAGGCCTGCGCTCTCCGTGTAATTTATTGTCCTAGTGTGCTTCCGCCGTATAGCCTGCACCCTAACTTGGTCTGAGTCGGATTTCCTACACGTAAACCGCGGGAATCGCACGGTCAACCGCACAGATATTCGAATCCCTCGGTACAACAGCTCCGCGATCATGCAGACAGCAGGCTAAAAGCGCTTATCCTATAGGTGGTGAGCAACCTGATTGCGGCGCCTACCAGCACCTCGATCGTTCCCACGCCGAGTGCGACGCTCACAGAGCCGGCGACATCCACCTACTTCACCACGTACACTTACTACACGACATTCTTCCGTCGCGGCTCGTCCCGCATCCGCAGTAGGGAAAAAGTGGAAACCAATATCGTGACCATCTTCCCCGGATCAACCGCAACCGCGACCACAGAGGTAAATCGATCGACTCTCGCGAACGAAAATCAAACTTCTGCACATAAAGGCTCGGCGTTGTCGTATCGGTCGCACGATTGACGGACGACGATCAAGACCACGACCACATCCACGGAGAAGGTTCAGTCCGCGCGTGTATGGGACTCTGGCTCAATAAGAGTGTGTGTGTGTGTGAGAGATCTGGAACTGTGTTGTATTGTCGTAAGCGATCATGTAAGACGGACAAGCACTCAATCCGTCCGTCAGTCGACCGATCCACCGGACGCGAAGCATACAGACTGGAGAAACACCGTTAGCTGCTGGGGGGGTCTGGCGCTCGCTCGCTCGCTGGCGTGAAGAGAAAGATCTTTGATCTGAGTCGACTTCGCTGTCTGCCAGCGAGCCAGCAGACGTCAAGGACGACCGCTTGCCGACGAACCGGCTGTAATCGAGAAGAATTTCTTGTTTCGGAGGGTTGTTCGCCGCGAGTCGATCAAGTGTACTGTCCGACCCAGTCAGTCAGTTGGACTGTCCGACATCCATTGACTAGAATCGTAGCCACCGGAAGCTCCGGGATCGCGGCTCGTTTCGCGGAACCAACAGAAAAAATCTCTGGTCTGCTTGCGTCTCGTCCACCATTGTTCCATCTAATCATCCCAGCGATTGTTCTGTATGTGGTTTAAGCCGTTCATCGTTCCCTTCGAAATCAAGAGAATAACGGGGACGCAACCCGCAATCATCGCTAGACGAGAGTCCGTAGTTGAAACTTATTTTATCTCGCGGCGCGCGAGAAAAAACCGCGCCGGTGGAGGAACGGGCGGCAAACAGGTTTGAAGTGGCAACAAAGTGCCGCATTAAGGATTCGCCGCCGAGCCTCGAGCGAAAGCGAAAGAATCACAAGCCTGCGAGCGCGAGAGATTTTTAGAATTGTCGAGCGAGCTAGAGAAGTACCGAAACGCCGATTGATCCAAACGGATGACGCTAAAAATGAACTCGGAGCGGTCGGTATGTCAATGGATTCAGTTGGCCGTCCGGGACACAGCTTCGGTGAAGGCAAATTTCCCTCATTTCGGCGATGTCTGTCAGATGGTTTGCGATGACAAACTACGTCGGTGGCGGCCGAGATTGAGATGCTCTGCCTCCTCGAAAGCGGTGCGGCTCTCTTTGGAGGAGTTGCAGAGAAGAGCCGAGCGCCGTTTCCGAGTCATCGGACTATTGATGATACATCATCGATCCGACCTGCTAAACCAGGAATTCCGCGACCGTCCCCTGAATCTGATCCAGCTGCGATAAATGAGCTCGATTCGAAATTCCGTCATTCTAGAATGGGAACTCGCTGACCTTGCATTTAGTTCCGCGCATTTTTCTTCGGAAATTGGATGGACATCCGACCTGGAACTCGAGGCTCATCGAGCGAACCAAATATCTAAGAGCCGATGAATGCAGTCTTTCAGAGAAAATACCACCTCCAGATGAAAGTACCCTCGGGCGTGTGTAAACTGTGTGAATGCATCATTTTCTCGGACGTTTTTTCTCCTATTCAAAGGGACCAACCTTCTATGCTTCATCATAGGGAGTGAGCGAAGCTGACTTGGAATACTGAATCCTTCTCTCTTCCATGCAGATTCTGACTCCAATCACCGTTTACAAGGACCATTCCCCTGTCGTCAGTTTTGCGAAGGTTCCGAAGGTGAGTTAATGAGTTCATCGATGGGGACTCCCTAGCGCGAAATCTTCCGAAGTCTCGAGGAGCTCATACCGAACTGATTGATTGATGGACAGAGGCGCTTGAATTGCGCAGGAGAATCTCGGCAGCGAGAAAGGGTCCCGAGAGAACTCGGAGGTTGTGCAGTAACGCGGCTATGATGACGATGGCGCGCGTCCGCTTCCGAAACGACGGGCAGGGCTGTCACGCTCACGTCATCTCCGTGTGAACGTGTTTCGTCCTTCGCCTTCCTGTATTGAAGTTTAGGCGAAAGCTTCGATCTTGACAGCTCCGACGTATCTGTCGGCCGACCAGTGTACAACTGTTGGCGTTGGTGATGGCGGTGCTAGTGTTGGCGGAATTCGTCGTCGTGGTCGTAAGACATTTCCGAGCAACGAGATATTTTCCTTCAACGTGATTTCATAGACGTAGACGACGACCGCGTCTTCGTCGCCGTCACTAGTCCAGCAACGGAATCGCACTGGTCAAGGCCAATCGCTCACAAGACAAGAACGCACCGCAAATACAGCCAACGCGGCCGCCTTCAACAACATCGCCATGTCAGCGCCCGTACTGTATTTCAGCTCTAGATGAGAGGAGTCCCCTGTGAGCTTCGATGAATAACCTTCAGGGCCTCGTCGCGCTGAGCCTTCCCTCGGCACCTCGTCTCGGGGGAGCGAAGTCTCGAGTCTCGAGCCTTAAAATGATTTTTGGCAATCGCTTGGGTGGTGAAGAATTAAATCTAGAAAACGGGGTCGCCCTAATGAGTCGTTTGACTCGCTGACGTAGTGCCGCATCTCGACTCAAAGCCTCCCCGGAGCCTGCAATCCAGTTCGACCACCGAAATGATCCACATTTGATCGTAATTTTGAGTATTCTGTCTTATGTTCCAGGTTTACTTGACAACGGTCGACGAGAGAACAGAAACGAATCGCGTGGACCCCACCGCCGCCGCCATCAGGGGTAAGGAAACGGACCCGTATACAACGTTTATCCAATTAAGGGCGCTAATGCCTTAAGGACGAAGGCGAACGCATGAAGTCGACGGCTAGATATTGATTGATTACTGCCGTGTCCAGCTCCGCTTTTGATTGAGCTGAAATCTTGTGGAGTCGGTCGTCACGATCCATCACATCGTTTAGTCTGATTAGAATTGAAGCTATTGCGCTTTTAATCAGGGTCGCCCGATTCCGAACGACACGCTTTTCTGATACGCTATCGATCATCGAAGAAAGCGCGCCGTGAACGTTTGAATTTTTCGGTGAACTTGGATTTCAAAATGAATCTCGTTCGTGCTTGCGAGAGGAAATGAATCATGAATGGACGACTTTCTCGAATAGACCGTTCGAAAGGAAATGTTATTTGACGGATTGTCGAAGATGAAAGCCTCCATCAACATTATTTTTGGAATTCGACGGCTCGAGCGGAGTTGAAAGTATTCCAAGTTTCTGTTTGGTGTGAGCGTTCTTTGGAGAAAAAGACTTTTCCCCCAATCAATGAGAAAACGCTCGAAGGCCGTTTTCTGGAGCCTCCTCCTCGTGCTTTCATGCCCATACTGGAAGCGATTCTTGGCTGTGACCTTAGCGTTCCGTCCGTTGGTTTTCCTCTCCTCGAGTCAAAAGATCATGACTTCCATCGGTCGGTGACAGCAAATGCTTAGCCGTTAGCGAACGGAACATCAGAAAAAAGCAACGTCTTTAAGTCTCTTCTGAAATCCGCCGACGAGTCACAAGCGGGGCGAACGGAATCGGACGGAAGATGACGGATTATTTTTGTTTGCAGCCACGACAACCTTCACGTTCCTAACGACAACAACTGATTCACTCGGCAATGAGGTGGTCTCGACTTCGTTCTCGACCTTGGAGGGTCTGGCGACGCAGGCGCCCGACGTGAGTTTTCCGAAGAGGATCCCTGTCCCTTGCTCCTGTTTTTTGTCTCTACGGGAAGCGTTCAGGCGAAAAGAAATCAGATGAGCACGGATCCATCTGGGTCTCGCGGGTCGAATCTGTGGCATTGAAATACACGATTGTTTTTCACAGATTTCTCCGACTAAACGAGTTCGCACCGATTTCACGACGTTCACCTACTTCAGTACGACGAATCATCCTGGAGGAACTAACGAGGTCAACAGTCGAAGCGAGGTGAGTATTCGGAAGGCTCCCGGTCGATAATCTCTTATACGCATATCTACCGAAGCGCCAAAGGTTGCGAGTCGATCTGCGATCGAAAGACATTCGTTCTTTTTTGATGATACAACGACCCGATAACGAATCGAAATTCAGGTTATCACTCGTTACGTGACCGAGGAGCCCAGCCGAAAGAGACGAGATGTCCAACAGAAACTGGAAACCACTTTCACCGATCTCGTCACCACGTTCGATCACGGACGACCCGTCGTGTCGACCAGAAGGCATACAGTCACGCTTGGTGAGCGACCTCTTGCGGCAGCCGGCCGATTCCTCTCGACTGCACAGGGTCGAATCGATTCTGGAGCCCGATGCAGAATCTCAATCTTTAAACTGTCCGAAATATCTCAGGTACGCTGCATATAACCGACACCGTGCAACTTCCGGCAACCACCCGCCCGGAACCTGCCGTGACGCGTATCGTCGAGCCCGCCCTGGTCAGGGAACACGTACCGATCGATCCCCGCCCGGTAGATCACACGTATTACACGACGTATACGTACTTCACGACAACACTGAGTCACGGAATTCCCGTGACACAAACCAGGTTCGTGTGGAAAATTTCGAGACGCTATCGGTTTCGAGCCGCCATACATACGTATTGTTTGGGAGCTGACTGAGAAAAATAAGACGCTCCGAGCCATAAAGCTCCCCGACGCGATCCAAAAAGCCTCCTGGCCCGAACAATGTTTCTCGGAACCAGTTTCAAAGTGCTTTATTCCCGTCTCTACGAACAGATATGAAGTGGTGACTCAGGTCCGTCACATCGATGCCACTCCCGGCATCCCCGGCGTGATCGCCGACCGTTCGTCCGGCTCTTGTCGACGATGCGTCGACGCTGAATATCCGAAAGTCGTGGACGCTTATCCGAAAATCGCTCCCTCCACCATCTATCCAGGTAAAATACTGTTTAGGAAAACGTCTGCTGCTTTCCATGATGTGTATTCATCGGCGCTTGGGGAAACGCGCCGGAGATGCCTCGCCTTTGTTACGAGCTCGCTCGGATCGTCGGGTGTCTGAATGCTCTAGAACGGACGCGAGTATGATTTGATTTGGATAAGCATGTCGTGAATTTCATTCAGGCGGCCGACACCACACCGCCTATTCAACGTTGACGTTCTATACGACGCATTATCCGAGAGGATCGTCGTACGTCGAAACTCGATACAGCGTTGTGACCAATATCGCTACGGCCACAGTTACCCACCAGCTTCCTGGACTCCGGGGACCGGATCCCTCGTGTCCCCACCATCACACCACGTTCACGTACTTCACCACAAGGTAGCCCTTCATGACAATGGACTTGATCATTCCCTCTTGTTGTTCTCGCTTCCGAATGCCGAATTACAACATCGGACTATATTCGCAGATTCGCCGGCCCGACTGCCACCGTCGACGTCCAGAAGGAAACCGTTGCGAAGTGCGATGGCGCCATTCCAGTCATCGGAGCTACTAGGTACATGAAGTTTATACATGATCCGTCGTCTACGTTTTTCCGAGCGAAGTCTTCGCGGAGAACAATGCACTACGAATGATTTTAGACCGGAACCTCACGCTGACATTGTCCGCGTTCATTCCGCAGAGTCGTCCCCGAGCATGTGGTGGTCGAGGAGCGTCACCGTCCCGCGCACGTCGTGCACGAGGATCATCGAGACCATGTGCATAGACCGTGCACGGTTTGTCTTCCTGACTACAGCAGGAAAACATTTTACACGACGTACACGCATTACACCACCGTCCTGGACAACCACGGTCATCCATCGGTGTCGACGAGGTACGAAAATTGTGGAACTCGTCTCAGATACTACAAAAAAAAATCAGCTGGGGATGGGATCATGCTATGCACGGGACTCGTGGGAGCGACTGACAGAATTCTTTCCTCCTAGATACGAAACATATACGGACATCTTGTCGGGCGTCAGACCCACCCGAACGAGACACGTTCGCGAAGCCACTCAAGGTGAGTTCATATTCCAAACCCATAGTCCTCAGGCGAACATAGTCCTGACAACTAAGCAGCACGTGCATTGTTTATGCTTGCGAAGCTTTTCCTAACACCGAGTTTGTACCGGGATCCGTGATTCCCCTGTCCACTTCGAATCAAGCGCTGAACCGCGCTCGGAGTCTCATAAGTATGACTCGATAAGCGACCGAGATCGGAACTGATTCGCTGGCCGAAAACCAGAAAAAGTTCTCGAGAAGCTCTTGGTGTTTCCTTGCATGCTAGTTGAACCCTGCTGCACCCAGCGTGCCCGTGTCACACTAACTCCAGTCGTATCTTCTCGTTTGGAAGATTCAGACTTTCACATGTCTGTTCCTTAATCTATCTGTGTCTTCCCCTCACTGTTTAATGCTGTCCTGTCCGTGCGCACTCAATATCCGTGTTGATCCGTCGATTTTATAAGGACGAGATGTCGAGGCACTCATAAAGTCTTGTGCAAACCTTCCTTGATCACCTGTTTGTTTTACTTTTTACGTTGTCTGTCTGTGTTTCCCTTGCCGGCTCGCGCTCACTGTCGATGCAATGACCCTGACTCTTGTTTGTTACAAAGCCACGCGTGGAAATCTTTGTAATGGGATGTCTTTGCGTTGTCGTCTGTGGGCTGGCACCCTTTCCCCTCTGTGATCACTGTTCAAGTCTCTAAAACCCATCGAGTCCATTGTCCCGTGGCCCTTTAGCACAACTTATACACAACCACCCTGCAAATTCCGTGACCATGATTCTGCTGCTACCACCATGTTTTCTGAATGTTCAATTGTCAAACACACCTCTAAGCGTTCCTTTAAACACATGTGTTACATAAATGTTGTCTCTGTTGTACCCTGTCGCCGCTGTGAGCCGTAGATTGATGTGAGGAAGTTATCGATCCAATCGCGAAGGATGCTCGCGTTGAGCTTCAGTTCGGATTAGCTTTCTCGGTCTGTCGACGGTGTCAAACAAGTTAAACTGTGTAGCACGAATCCTCCTGGAATCGTATCTAAGAGCTCTGAATATCCAGCTTCGGACGTGAATATAGCTATCCCCTGGCTTAAGCCGTCACTCGTGTTGCACTAGAATTCGACATCGATGCCGAAAAGTCTCGTCGTTGCTCGGACCAGCTTTTTGCTCTGAATAGAAGAGCGTGAGCGAGGGAAGGAGAGATAGACTGACGGATAGTCGTACGCTATGGTCGTTCCCCTCCCATAATAAGGGGGGACGCGACGCGAAACGCTGCGCTTTCTCCGTGGGCCGCCCTGTTGGAGCTCACGGTCAGTATTTTCAAGAGTTTCCGAAGCGACGGGGCAATATTTTCTGGTGAAAATTTTCTCGGGTGGTAGTCACGATTATGTGAGAGAAGGAATCACACAATCACCGCTTCCCTCCTTCTCCCCCTCCTGCTTCTCCTTCCCCTGTCCTTTAATATACCCCTGTGGATCGATTCTCCCGTGATGGACTAGTTCCGGGATATTTATTCAAGGAGTATATTAAATTACCCGATCCCAAAGCAACTTTAGGTATCCCTTGGGCTTAGATGCAGCAGGGTGATATTTTCATTGTTCGCTACTCATTCAGAAATGCAATCGATGCCATTCAGGGTGTTGCACGAGATGGCATCATCGATTCCGATTGTACTAATCAATTGCTATTGGATATCATGCGTAGCTTGCTCACGGCACTTACAGTTTCGCTTTGAGGTTCCCCGGAGGGGCGTTAATTTACATTGGAGCGCGGAAGATGCAGGATTGCTCGATATTTTTTTTATGCTCTGTACATCACTCGACCTTGCGTCACAGCAGCTCGAGTGAAATCTCCCGCGAACAAGAAGCGAAGTGAACGGAACAAGCTCTCACACAGCAATATACCCACCTACTTCCCCTTTCGGTACATCAGTAGCCACACAATTTTTCTCCGGTGGAAAACAACACAGAGTCGGATAGGAAAGACAAAGCTCGGTCAGAAACGCTTTGGTGATTTGAGGCCATGGGCATTGGGGTATTTACTTCGAAACTCAGACAGACACGTCGAAAGAAAACGACGAAAGCTCGACATCTCGGCCTTCCGGCGGCTTCGCTACCGAGATATCTAAAGAGCCGATTTGCTACAGATCCACAAATGCGAAGGCTTCTCACCGAATCCGCAGAATCGTCAGCGGTCGTATCAAGCTCGAGTCTTAAGACCGGATTGATCACTTCGTTCACCCAAGATCGCGTGACTGAAGGCGTGACAACTCGCTTCACGACGGCTATTTCAGCGACGTACATCCGAGGCTTTTACGCTCACATCGCCCAGACGTTCTCCAATGTTGTAGGGGAGCGGCAGACAGATTCGTCGCTAGTCAGCGCATCCAGTTCAGCAGACGCCGCCATGAAGTCGGAACTTCTGGCCACGGAAGCTCCAGGAGTTTCCTCGGTCATCGCCTCGGCATCCTCATCGATAGCTCCATGGGACTTCGGACAATTGGCCTCCGGTTCGGCTCCTACGGTGACTCCGGTCTTCGCGCCTTCGTCGCCCGACGCTCCGAGCAGCGCGACAGAAGCTGCTACTGATCTTCATTCCCAATCGGTCACGGACAGCCCTGTTCCACAAAATATTGACGTGACAACATCATCATCATCATCGGTTCCAGTCGTATCCTCATCCTCGTCGCAACAAACTGGAGTACTCAGCTCTGAGCTCCTGAGCTCCGAGGTCACTTCCGGTACAACCACAAATTGGAGACGCAATATTATCGGAACGTTCATCAATGGATTCTACGCACATATCGCCGTGACCTCTACGGAAACGGTCAGTCCGAAACAAACTAGTCCGCCATCGAGCTCCACTTCACGAGCCGAATCCGCTCAAAAATCCGCGCACCGCGCGCAAGAAACCTCGACGCTGAGCTCCTCAGCCTCGGCGAATCTACAGACAGGACTGCTGTCCTCGAGAGAGATAGCGACCGAAGTCATTGACGGGCGAAAAGTTGTTCTCCTTTCTGCCGTCTACGGAACGTACATCGGTGGTCACTACGCACAATATGCCAAGATCGACAGATCCACTGTCACGGAGGGAGCTGTCGCCCCCTCAATTCGAACTTCGTCCGCCTTGACGACATCTTTCTCGTTCGAAACAGCTCAAGCCCTCGACACCAGCGACGCTCCGGCTCAAACCTCCCGGAGAGCGGAAACTACTCAGCCGGAGGCTTCTGCGTCGGGAGGGCCCGTGGTCGGTGTGATCACTTCGAGCACGGACCGTTTCACCAACAACAATTGGGTGACGATTCAAACTGTGTTCACGTACGGAACGTACATTCAGGGCTATTACGCTCATATCGCGAAGACGTCAACGGAAGTTCATCCCGCCACGCATGACGCCAACGTAGCCGCAACGCTGAGTACGGCTGATACACTGAATCCGTATTCGGCCTCCGCCCATCCCATCGGCGCCACGGAATACGCGGCATCCGCAAGTCTCCAGCCCACCACAGGAGGAAACACGCTCCAGGGATCGTGGAATGGGGACCTCCAACCATCGGTGAATCAAGTCACTCCGCAATTGGCATTAGTTTCAGGAGCGACGCCGTCGACTCCTCCGGGATTCGATGCGGCAGCGGTTCCCTCTACTTCTGCCTCGTCCACGTCGAGCAACGGAAACGATGACGACGACGACGACGAGCTCAAAACAGGTTTACTGTCGCGATCATCCGTGACGAAACTTGTCAGCGGAGTTCCACACGTGTTCACGTATGACGTCACGGGGACCTTCATCAACGGTTTCTACGCGCACATTGCCCGAACGCTGAGCGCGACTTTGGACCCCTCGAAATTATCGCCGACAAAAACGGAGAAAGCCAAAAGACCGATACTGACTTTCCACATCAGTGAGCCCAACGACCAACTCGAAAATCAGCTCTTCTCCGACGAGCTCTCCCAGGAGCTCCAGAACAAATTGGAGAAATCGCTCTCTCTCGATGAGGCGAGCGACGGTAGACAGCTGCAAGCGAAACGAAACCGACCGATATTCCCATCGAGGAGACGCAAGATCCCCAAGCAGACAACTCCGCTCGTGGATTCTGTCGGGACGGATTTCGACAGGGCGACAGATGATCTCATAAACGACGACGAAGATTACGATTACGACTACGGGCGAGCACCCGAAAGCGTCGACGCGGAGCACCTTCTCGAGCAACCCGTAAGACACCAACGTCTCGCGAGGGCGGGGAGCTCGAACAACAGGAAGAACCGGCTCGAGGGCGGTCTCGTACCCCAGAAGACCGTGAGGGCAGAGCGACAGCAGAGAACGCAGGGCCAACGCTCGAATCGTCCAGCGTTGCTCGGTAGGCGCCGGAAGAGTGATCCCGTCCAACCCGCTGAATCTGCGAGACAGGACGAGACGACAGAAACCGAGCGGCCGCGTCAGAGGAATCCGCAACGCCGCACCAGGAAACGTCAAAGACAAAACGACGACGAGAGTCTCGAGCCGGACGCTCCGCGACCGAGACAGCGGCAGGGGCGCAGAAAAATCAACAGGAGCCGCGAGCAGCTCCGCGAAACCGAAACACCCGCGAGGAGAGGGGGTCGGAGGAATAACTCCCAACGACAATCCGCCACGACGCAGCAGCCGCAGGCTAGACGCGGAGGGCGCTACAATCCGAAGAATAATCGCGAAAATTTGCCCGCCAGTCTTCAACCGACAACGACAATCCAGAAATCCAGTATCACGCTCATGAGCGTCGTGACCACAACGAAGACCCTCCCAATTTACCACGGCTTCCGTACGAGTTACGCGACCATCACCACGACGGCCGTAGCGACGTCGGTCGTCAAGCCAACTGAGTATAGCATCGTCGAGGACACCATAACGGCGACGTCGATCGTGGATGGCGAACCGAGCCTGATTGAGAAATATCAAACGAAAACACTCCTCAACCGAAAGTCAGAAATCAATCTCGATAGCACGACAATCACCGAGATCGTGGTTTCCACTACCGTGCTCGAGCAAGTGAGAACCATACCGATCCAGATCGGTTTCCGAACCCGGACCGATATCATCACCGAGATGTCCACGCTGACTCAACTCCGCACCGATGTCCGAACCATACTGCCCGAAACGACCGCAGCCTGGAACGGAGGCCAGACGGTATCTCCCCTGCAGAATCCCTTTCTCCAGGCGAATCCGTTCGTGGGACAGCTCGGCCAAAACCTGTTCGCGAACGCATTTTTCAACCAGCCCCAGTTCCTCACGAGCACGATCATCGAGCCGACGACCTTGACTTCGACAACGGTCGTCTCGGTCAATCTCCGAGGGAGGAAAGTGCTCAAAACAATCACCGACACGAAGGTCACCGATACAACACGCTTCACCACATTCACAATCCAACCGACAGTGGCCGCGCAGCTACCTTTGATAACTCCGCAAGCCGCGTTGCCGGCCGCGCATTTCACAACCGATATCACACTTGTAGTCACAGATCAACTCGGACAAGCACGTCCGGTGGTCACACGCGTGGTTCTCCCGATCCACCACGGTCAAAAAGTAGCCCGATCACTCAGTCAAGACAGTTCGCCACAACAGAACCTCGGCCACAGACACTACACAGTACGCGACGACTCCGATGACGCTGACGAGAACTATGATGACGATGGTGACGGTATGTACAGAGCAGGAGACCGCGTCCGAATTTATCGAAAAATCCTTTGAGCTCGTCTAGGCTTTCGATCCACACCGATCTACCTGCTATGTAAACTCAGTCATCTTTCAACCCTTTGGGAACGGAAGTTTCCCATTTAGACAAGTCAACGAGGTATCCTTCTCGGATTCCTGACTGGAGGTAATCTTTTCAGATACCATCACTGAGGAGGACATCACTCCCACAAAAACAAGAGGGGCGCCTCGGTTGACAACTCTCCTGAAGAACGACCAGAGTGAGATTTACCAACGAGAAGCCAGCTCGCAGCTAGCAAGGTGAGATTCCAGCGAGCAAGGACGCGGTTCCCGATGCTGGGTCAGGTCCAGTGTTTCCCATCAGTTACGCCTTTGTCCCTGACCCGATTCCCGAACGGATCAGCCGCGAGTTCCATGGTTGTTGGTACACGACGTGGGGGAAGGCATTTTACGAACTCAATTTCGATTCCAGGATTGCGCGTTCGCCGGAGAAACCGGTTTTCGGGAAAAGACGTCTTCTGCAATTCCAACAGCCTTTAGGGGATCCGAGCTCGAGCTACTACCTGCCGCAATTCACGAATTACAACGAGTGAGTACTTCAGAGCCGAACATCAATTTATCAAATCCGCTTCCCCGCATCGGAAGGGATGAATTCGGCTTACCAGGAATATTCTCATCAATTTCAGCCAACCATACGCGAGTCGCGTTCTGCAGCCCTCTGCGAATTACTACAGTGAGTACAGAGCTCGGCTCATCGGGCTAGACCTCGACGAATCGTCGAATATTTGGAATCAGCCCCCGAAATTCGTCATTTCGAAAGGATCCGCCGATCAAGGCTTCTTATTCCGTGTTCACAGGTCCCCAGCAGTACGACTTCCAGCAGTACCAGCCGTATCAAAATTATCCCCAACACAACCAATACCAACATCAGTATAGCGACTATCCCTATGAGTATCACTCCCAGGTAGGCTCCCAGACCGCCGAAACTACCGAAGGCGCGATGCTCGTAATATCCGTGGCATGGTGCGGAATCGGAGAGAGATTTCAAACCGAATTCTTCTGTAGGTTCCGGTCCCTCCGCAGAATGATTTCCACAACCAGCTCGCTGGATTCCAACAGTCCTTCAATCCGCCCGTTCAGCAACAGAACAACCTGAATCAGTTTTCACCACTGCTCTCGTATGATGTGAATCCACCCAATCAGGTCGTGGATCCTGCACCTCCGGTTGAGGTAGGTTACCCCGTATGAATAGCTTCTGAAAGTCCGAGTGGTGATATCAAGGACGGTGGCTAGAACGTGAGACCGGCAATTCCCTCGGAACAGGCATTATCTTTTGTCCTGGAAATAAGCTCTTGGCGGTCTCCAGACTCAGGATATCAAATATCTAATCACCATCGTGGGGTCTTCACGTGGCTTAGTGTTCTCACTTGACATTTTACAGGCGAGTCCGCCCTCCCGGAGCTTGATCAGGAGTTCGAAACTCAAGCGAAAGACGATCTTGCGGAAGACAAAGCCCACTCCGACTTTCGAGTTCAACCCACAGACCCCTCTTGAATTCAATCCCGACTCGTATGTCACGCCCACCAGATTGCGGAAGTCGTCCGTTGTTCGGCGCCGACCCCAAGCGTCCGAATACACTGAGGTGAACCCCGAACTCGCCGATATTCCGGCGGCAAGCCCAGTTCTCGAATCCAGTTACTTCGCTCTGGACTCTCAATCGCTGATCAGGAGTTCAAGAGTTGTCCCTCGGCGGCGACCCCCTTCCACTCTTGTCCCCGACCCAAGCCCTCCGTCACAGATCCTATACGAAACAGCCAAAGTTGAGGAACCGGTGACCGAGGCAGCGGATGCTGAGAGGCGTCGAGGCAAGGTGAAGAAGAATCCCGACGCGTCTCGCAAAGCCATCGTCTCGAGCAGAGTCCAGAAAGCTCGAGATCCTCTGACATCTGTGGCTAATCCAATCACATTCTACACTACATTCACATACATGACAACATTCCTCCATGGAACACACACGGTAAGTCGACGACGAGAGTTCGGAGCCGCTCACCGTTGGGCGATTTCCCCGCGCTCCCCGTGAGAGGGTCTCACAAGCATCAGAAGGATCTGTTCTCAATGGGATCCAATATGTTCCAGGTTTACCAGAGTAGGGAATCGGTAGTCACCTCGGTGCACAGCGTCGTCGATCCCACGCTGTTGTCTCAAATCAGCAACGGCTATTTCGACGGTAAAGCCACGCCGGTGAGCAGCAGAACGCGGGGTTCCGCTACGACGATTGTGAACCTCCAAAGTCGGCTCGCCGTTCAAACAGATGAAGCTCCGGTAGCGTCGTCGCCGGTCGTCGAAACTCCCGCTAGTTCGATGACCACACTCGATCTTGAGCAATTGGAAAACGTGAGGAAAACCGTTTACGTTCTACAGACGTACATGTACACGGTTGTCGATGAGGCTGGCCAACTACACACGTCCTCCAAAACTGAAATCAAGTCGAGCATCCACGCGACGCCCACCGCCCTTAACCTGGTGCCAACGGAGCAGATGTCTATCAGGTGAGGATACTTATTGTTTCGCCGACGCGTTCGAAAGCTCCGTGAGAGTCGGAAAAGAATGAGCTCGGCACTGCCGTTCCAAACTCACGCCGAACTCTATTCCAGCAACGGTTTCCTTGCCCTCGACAACACCCGCACCGTGAATTTGGCGAACGATGTGCGAAACGGAAAGACCACCAAAGTTGATCTCGAACTGCGCACCGTTGTCAAGCTCGACAACATCGGAGATGCCATCCTCGCCACGCAGGCTGCAGTCCTGGACGCTTCGTCAATCGATCCGACTTCCACAGTCGCCGACGCGTATTCGACGAGTCAGGCCGCGGCTTCGAGCGCGATCGACGCTTACCGCAAGAGGATTAAGATCAAGTCGATAGTGAGGAAGAGGCCTTCCGAAGGCATAGAGTCCTCCATCGTCGACCCCACGGAGTACTTCGAAAGCTCTTCGATTTTCGGTACTCCTGCCCTGGCCTCCTCCAGCGAAATCCTACCGGAATTCACGAGCTCCACCCTCGCTCCGAGCAAACAGCTGAAGCGACTGAAAGTCACAATCCGCAAGAAGGCCAGCAAGCTCTTGAAACCGGTCTTGGATTCCGTGGCCTCAACCACAGACATCGACACCCTGCGCAATGTTCCGAGCGCGAGCCGATACAGAGGACGTTTGCGCGCCAGCAGGGTCATCTCCAGACGTGTCCGCCCCTCGGATCTGATCCGTCAGTCTCCGATCCTCTCGGTTACGCCAGTCGCCTACACGACAACCACTCGACTCCCTATCGAAGTCTCGGGATCTACCGAATACCGCGACGTGGAACTCACGACGTTCTCGTTGGTGACGTCGACGATCACGCCGAGCTTCTTCCCGCCGAGTCCGCAGTTCACGAGACCCGCATCGATCCAGGCTTCACCGGTGGTTCTCACGTATTTCACGACGACAACGTACACGATTCCGGTGACACGCAACGGCGTGGCGACGTATTCTACGAGCGAGCATACAAACAGCCGACTCGTGACCCAATATCCCGAACCGTCGTCACTGCAACCATCGCTGGTCCTCGACGCGGCTCTTGTGAACGAGCTCGCGACGCCGAGAATCTCAGACTTCGAGACGAAAACTATGTTCACGACGTACACCTACTACACCACTTACTATTCGAAGGGTTCGACCTCGGTCGTCAGTTCGCTGAACATTATTTCGAACACAGTTCAAGTCCCGGTGCTGTCGTCGATCGCTCCGACCGCCGTCACCCCGTTGACGATCCTGAAGACTTCAGAGCGTTTGAGAGTCTCAACTTCGTACTCGACGTTCACGTTCTACGCCACTCTCTTCAACGGCACGTCGTCTCTGGTCACGCCTTTCGAGGAAGTTCAGAGTCAAGTTTTCACGCTCACCGAATCGTTCGTGGTCACTAGAACAGTCAGCATTGCGCCAACGTCGACAGCAGTGCTGGACTTGCAAGCAAGCGCAGCGCCAGAACCAACCCAGACCTCATCGGTAAGTGCCGCCATAATCAGATTCATCCCCCCCCCCCCGAAGCCCTTCCGATGGGGAGTCGAGACGTTCGCGAATTTGGAATGATCCTCTTCGGCGATTATATGGCAGTGGAAGAATACAATTTTTCCCTTGTATTTCAGAGTCAATCGTTCACATTGTTCACCCTCGCACCGGCATCGACGTCTTCCCGAGCGTCCGGGCCCTTGGTCCCTTCAGTCAAAACGTTCCTTACGACGTTCACCTATTTCACCACCTACTTCAGACAATCGTCCTCATACGTTATCAGCAAGGAGTCCGTGGTCACCAGCTACGCGACTCTCTTTGTGGACGCTGCGAAACTGCGACCGACCTCAACGAAGAAGCCGGTTCAATCGACAACCACCGCACTGGATCCTCGATTCCCGTACACAACTTATACTTCGTTCACGACCTACACCTTCTACACCACGTTGTTCGGTGGGAAAGACAAGATCGTCATTTCGAGCGAGCAAATCGTACCTCAGGTAAGCTTGTCGGCCTGTCCGGAATGCCTAATGCGCAGGGATTGGAGGAATAGTCTTCATTGAATGAGAAACTATCATTAAGGATCAGGGCAATCGGGGTCCAGTGGTATAACACGAATATTCGTCGCAGGTTGTCACGAGGAAGCTGGATGCTACCGCTGGGAACATCGCACCAACGACCACCAACACCTACTCGACGTTCACAGCACCTCCCATCACCGAGGAGCTGCCATCGACCTCATCATCTACGTCGAGATCCACGCTTACATTCGAGTTGGCGCCAAGCACTGAGTCTTCAGATGCAACGGATCTTCCGAGCGCCCTGGAGCCGATTCCTGATGGGGTAACGACATCGAGCATTCCCACTGTGGCTATGCCCGAAATCATCATCAGGGACCAGAAACCGACGGTCTCCCTCCGGAAGAAGACATCGGGTGCTTCGACGTCGGTCTCGGCAGCCACGACTCTGCCCCATACGCAGACCGTCGTCTTGGCAAGCTCAACGAGGTTCTTCGGTCGCGATCGAAGCCTCACCCACATCGGACCGGGAAGCACTTTGCTCCTCATCACGGGAACGGATGGTCTCATATCGAGAAGCCAGGGAACTCCCTCGTCCGCGCCGACGGTCGACGCCACCGCCGCTGACGCAACGAAGTTCATCTCTCCGTCCACGACGTCGCCCGGAACCGTTCTCGATCTCACAGACATCCTCGGAGGCAAAGGAGGCAAGCTCGGGGAAGCCATCAAAGGAATCGTCAACCTATTCAACACCAAGAACGGAACGGACGCCTTATCCCCCAGCTCCAAGATCAGCAGAGAAGATACGTCCCTGCCCTCCGGGCCTGTCATGGTGTCCAGCCGAGAGCCTCTGTTTATTCCTCTCAGTCCTGTGCTCGACATTTCGAGCTTCATCTCGCCAAACAGCGCGTCACCGGGCTCGATCGGATCGACGTCGCGCGCCGATTCCAAATTGACTCCGGTGTACAAACCTGTGAGACCGCTAGAGGAGAAGGAGGCTCATATTCCGCTCGAGAAACTCATGTCGGACCTGTCGAAGGCCAAGACGAAGATCCGCGTCGACACGCCGACCCTTCTGCCGAGCTCAAAACGTCTTATTCCGTCGACCACGATTCGATTCGAAGAATCCAACCCATCTGAGAGCGTTTCCGTCATTGTAGGCGCAGAGACAATATTCTTCGACGAGGGTGCAAGCACCGAGCTCCCGGATCCCAACGGGGCGGTGCAGCCAACGAATGTCCTGCAAGGCGTGTCTCCATCGTCGCGCGTCGTTGTCGTCACTCCGGAAATCGAAGTCGCCAGAGGCTCCCTCCTGCCCCCGGGCTACAAGGTTCAGGCGCAATCTTCGGGCGGGCTCTGGTCCACCGCTTCTTTCGCTCCAGCTGAAACTCTGGTTCCTGAAGATGGAATCAAGGCGAGCAAACCTACGATCTACTTCCAAGTTTCCTCAACCGTTGTCACCGACAGTCCTGCCAAAGAAGTCGACTACGGAGGCGTCAAGGTCTTCATCGCTGGCCGTGGAAACAGAAAACCGGTGGAACCTGTCATCAAGACAGAGACGGGCTCACAGAGCACAAGAAAACCGCTTCCGAATATCTTCAAGGTAGGTGTTGCATACTTTTCCTTCAGCCCATCGAGACAGCGCGAGTCGACCCCTCTTGACCCTCCGATTTTTTCCTGTAGGTCGGGAACCGCAAGGGCGGACCCTCAACCACAGCGAAGCCGGCTTCGAACCTCCCCAAGGTCAAGATCTCGTTCCCGAAACCGCCTGCTCCAGGTGACGATAAGCCCGAAGACTCGAACGATATCTTCGACGCCTTCAAGCCTTTCAACAACAGCAACAGAGAGGTGAGCACAGCGACAGCAAGATTCCGTTCGGGTCATAGCGAAGCTTTTTCAGCAGGGAATGGTCGCGCTGATCGGGGAAACGAATTAAACCGGGAGAATTCCGCGAACTGACGAATGACTTTTCCCAGCAATTCGACGGCCCGACGCCCACGCCTCTGTGCTATCCGGCTTGCGATTCGAGCCGACACGAAGCCTGCGCGCCAAACCCATCGAAAACTGCCCGCAATAAATACATATGCGTTTGCCGACCGGGTTATACGAGAGACACGGAGAGCTCTTCCACCAGGTGTATCGGTGAGTGAACGCCGCGCTCGCAGCTCGCGATCGAGATAATCGGTCGACAGCTGACACACATCGTATCCGCAGCTGTTTTTGGTGTCTTCTCCGAATATCCTTGAAAACGACTCACTTCATGTTACAGCATCTCAAACGTATCTCCTCCCTGTGCATCTCGTCCGTGCCTCGTCGAAGGGATCGGTTCAATCTCAAATGCCCCGACTACTCCACGCTCTCAAAGTTTCGGTGAGTGACTCGGGCACCAGAAATCCATCCAGAAACTTCGCCGTCGGGGGTTCACAGAATTATTAACGTTGGCGGTCGATGGATGATGTATGGATCCTCCTTCCAGTTGGAACAAACCTACAGCGATGCGCTCGGCTTCCCGAAAGGCTCGCTGCTCGACGCCAAGGTCAACACAGTTCAGAAAGTCACAAACTACAACAACGAATCCTCCGTAAGTGTTCACGGCTCTGGCCTACAGATGAACGTCCGGCGAAAACCCGACTTTCGACCTGAATCAAGTCTTCGAATCGAGTCGATCTCGAGACAACTGGAAAAACATGCGCTTACTCCGCTTTGATCCACATGCAGATCGTCCTTACGTTGGCTCTATCTCAACGAGCCACAAACACGGATCTGTCATTGCCTTCGCTGTCGTCGCAATTGGCGAGGAGTGTCTCGAAACTCAACGATTCTCTCGGACAACTTCAATCGCCTTTTGTGCTTCTGGGATCTACTCCGATTGACGCTCTCAAGGACCTTGATGAGTGCTCTTCTTCTGACCTGAACGACTGCAGTGCGTACGCAAAATGCATCAACGTGCCAGGTGGGTTGTCGTTTGCTATTCTCGTGGCCGGACGAAGGTGTTCAGCGTTTGGCAACATTCCGATTGCATCTTGATCGATGAGGTTTAGAGATTTCATGAAACTAATACGGGACCGATTTTCCGCAGGCTCGTTCCATTGCGAATGCAAATCGGGATACCAGGACTTGGACTCTGAATCTCCTGGAAGAGTGTGTTCATCTGAAATCAAGAACTGTCAGTTCTGCAGCGCACGAGGCAGCTGCATTTTGGGAGTGGACAACGGTGTGGAGAAGACCACCTGCAGATGCAACACCATGTATCTCGGACGTCGTTGTGAAATCAACGGACTCGGTAAGACGCTCGACTCGGAGCTCGAGCCGAACATATCGCGGACATATCCCATTCATTCGATGAATCTCGGTAATGTCGAAATGGATTGTCTTAAAACGTTGACCCTCCTCAGTTCTTACAATAGCGCTACCGATTGCGCTCTCTCTGCTGACGCTGACGATTTGCTGCTCGGTGCGGCGATGCCGACCCCGATACAGGACGACGGCGGTGAAGCCTCCGCTTCCTCAAAATAAAATGGCTATGGGTAAGCGAGGTTGAAACTATTTTTAGAATTGATCGGCTCGCCGATCTAACGCCTCTATAGGGAGCTCCACGAGAACGCTCACTTAACGAATGGATGAATCGATCTATTTATACATCGATCAATCAGTCTACGACAGAAATATTCTCTATAGCCTATCCCGGTTCGGGTTCACTCCTCACGGCTTCGGATAAGGGGCACTCGGATAAGACTCAAATGATCAGCGATAGCTCTAGCGAAGGCGAAACGAGTCACGGAGGAGATCATTGGCACCATCATCATTCGACCATAGATGGTCGCCACACTCAGGTGAGATTCGCGCTTCAGATCGGGAAGACACCTGGTGCCTTTCTTACAACTAGTATGGGTTCATATCGGGTATCTTTCCCGCATGCGCGAACCGGGCGCCTTCGTTTAATCCTCGCTTTTCGATCCTCACAGATGTCATCCGGAGGCTACAGCGGCTACGGCGAGTCCTTGGCTGACACGCTCGCCAACCATCACTTACCGTCGATTGTCATACCGCGAGTCAGACCCAAGCTGCCAGTTCGACAACGATGAGCCTAATTATGAGCAGGAAATAAGTTATGTAATTCTCACAGAAGCCGATCTACAGACTCATACTTGCTGTTCACGATCGAGCGACTTCTGAAAGTCATGTCACTTCGGAACCTACAGCGCGATAGTTTCCCGTATTTATTCCCGCGTAAAGAGACGCCGTTGTAGGATGGGGGAGTACCTATTTAAACACAGCTAATAATTCCGAGCTGTCGTAGCACCCGCGGAGAATATCGTCATAATAACTTATTTAGTTAATGAACAACATCCGAAAAACACATTCTGCCGCGTATCGGCAGCTCGGCTGCCTGTCATCGCCCGCATTCCGGCAAAGGGTCCGTGCCATGGCAGATGTCAATGCTGGGTATCGACCAAGCATCCGTTTGGGATCGGAACAGCGGATTGCGCGAAGTGCTCATAGCTTCCGACACTATTTGAGTTGTAGAAGAGATTCTCCATGCTCTCGCCGAACAGACCCATCGAGGTGTCATGTTATCGAGAGCGCATGGATTCAGCCTGTTCGGAGTTGTGCAAGGACTGTCGGGGGAAAATGCGTCTCGTGGCCCAAAAGTTTACTCCCGAGGATAATGTCCGGCGGCTGATCTTCTTTTTCTGGCGTAGGATAATTTTCGTCGTGCCATCTACAAATTCGAGCAAGAGCCGTTCGAGTCCCTCGATTTTTTTTTTATCTTGCAAGAAAGGCGGATAACGTCGAGTCAACGAACGTCGGAGCGTAGCGGCCTCATAGCGTCGTGTTTCATTTTCGCCGGCAAGCCAAGTTCGATCGACATAAAGTGTCGCTACGCTCCGGAATGATTTGCGAGACTCCGTTGTGAATAATGCCGCGAACGACGCGTGAAAACGTAAAGACGACATACATACGTTGTGCCTTTTACTTTTCGACTATGACCGCACATCCTGCCAATTCTTGGCGGCGGGCCCTAGGTAGGATCGCGATGAGGACTGATTGATCACTGATGAAGCGTTCGTTTGCGTTGCGTACGTCGGATGTACGTCCCCGCATCGGATGACCAGAAACACTAAGCAACGTGTTTTGAGAATGAATGAACGTCAAACGCTCCACTGTCACATGCCGGCCGGCCGACTGGAAATAATAGTACTAGCGAAGATTTCCCTGTAGGACGATTGTTGCCTAATCGGATTACAGGCACGTTGAGCGTTTCTATATAAAACTTGCAATTGTGCGTGTGTCGCTCATCAGGGAACGCATTCCACGTACAGGCTTGGTCTGCCTCTCTGGAGTCTAACCCATCAGGATTCGTCCACCCTCGGAATTGAGGCTGTTCGGAGTTGTGGCTCCTCTATCGTACGTTATCAGTGCTTACTCTTGCTGTTTTGCTCAAGGGATAGTTTGACTTGGTTGTGCGGAAGAAGTCCGTTGACGCAGTCGCTCCGGAGCTCCACGAACCCAACCATCAATGTCCTATTGTCAGTGCTCTCTTCAGTTGTGGTCTTCCGGTTTCCTACAAGTTCGCCGAGTCGACCAATATTTGTGTACTATTCTTCCTCGCACACATCTTCCATGTGATACTAATCAACCCTGGAGTTTTCATCGTTGAAGAAAAGTTCATTCCGCCGTCAGGTTGTTGAAGTTATCGAGTGTGCTGATGATGACAGTCTCGTGCATCAGGATAAAACACGTAGAGAGCGGCGATATACGGAACAAGCAAAGTGTAAATAAACGTTTGGTTGTGTTTTCATCATACTAAGCCCGGAATCATCTTCCTTCTCGTCATCCATCGAAGCTCCTTCCGCTCTAAAAACGTTGATAACTGCCCTCGATCGCCCCCATTCCCGAAATTAGAGCTCTTTGCAGGAAACGTTCTGGATTATGCAACGATAACCGAAAAGCACGGGGATATGAAGGGACAGATGATCCTGTTTCTGGAAGCCCTATGAATCGTCCAGCGTTCCTGAAGGGAATTTTCCGATTACATTTGTCAGTATCCGGAGTAATTGCCACGCAAGATGATACACGTCATGTTTCTCTGTTTATTGAAACCGAAATCACGTGGATGGGCCTAGCGGGGACCAGCGAGAATCGACAGACTGTTCAAGTGGGAATCAACTTCTCAGAGAAGAAGCAGGCGCAGATTCCCCAAGCCACATTCCTGCTGCATCTTCCCCGTAAAGACAAAAGCATAAGTCCCCTGGAGCTCAATGGGAGCAGGAAATCGCATCAAATTCTCACAGCGTTCTGTCTTCAGCCTTGTACACACTCAACGGAAGCTATCCGACAATGAGCTCGGAGAAATGACATTGACCTCGGTATAGATCAAGAGCTGGTCATCCATGTGATGTTTTTTGAAACCTGTCTTTTATTCCCTTCGACATTCTGATTATCGTCTCTAAAACTGCTGCTGGTGACTTTACCCCCTCGAATTACTCGACCCTCCTGACTCCCTGATTGAAATGCTAGCTTTTCTTCCCCATCAACAGCATATTATTATAATAGTATACCGAGTTCTTTCCTACTCCGTGGCGTCTCTGCCTCCTCCGTACCCAAGTCCGCGTTTGATTCTCTCTTCGTACGGTTTCTCTTTGCTGAGTTTATTATTCGCTTAACATCACTCTCCTCTCGACCCATGTGTTCTGTTTGGTTGTTTCCTTGCTTTTTCCGTGTGGATCTGTACCGAGTGTTTGTGTCCCCATCTTAACTTTTCGTGTCTTTGCCATCCTCAGTTTAGAAGATGAACTTTCCGAGGATGAATCCGCAGATGATGAGCATCAGCGCATAGATGAGGAGTGTGTTGTGCGAAACCTGCGACAGTGGGCCGGACGATGACTGAGGTGGATTGTACGAGGTCTCAGTCTCCGTGGGCTGGGGATTTTTGGTACGATGACGAAGTCCGTCCTCCTGTAAAGGAAAACATGTCAGATGAAGGAAATCAAAGGTCTGGGGTATAGCGCTTTCGGCCCCCTTGTTGGATATAAAACTCGATGAGTCACGAGCCTAAGGGGCGCCGGATAATTTTCCTCCGACTTGTCGGGGAAACAAAATCAAATTACTCACCCTGAGTGTGGAGTTTTCTTTTCTGAGTTGGAAAACCTCGTTCTGGAGCCTCTTGATCTCTTCGCGCGGGTTTGAATCCCCATGAGGGGCGGCTTCATGCTAGGGATGGGTGAATAATTTTGAAATTCCATAAAAATCGCAGGAGCTCGCAGATACCACGCGGAGAATTCTCCCTCGCTCGAGTATCCAACCGCTACCAAGAGACGTGGTTAACGAAAATTGATTTGTTTACCTGAACGGTTGGTGAGAATACTTCTTTTTCTGCCTCGTCCCCGTGAGCGTGAGGGCCTTCATCCTCGACACCGGGCATGTCGAAAACGCAGCGGAGCTTGGAGTCCATGATCATTTCCTTCGGTGCCTCCTGTTATGAAGTGAAAGTTGACCATATACCGCGCTCAGCAGAGGATATCATCTTCGAGGGTTTATAGTCTGTAGATTATGAACTGTCAGAAGGCCGTGCGGAACACTCCTCCATACCTTCCAGAAAACATCGTGATTGATTTCGCCTTCAGGAGCGAAGACGGATTGCACCATGAATTTATGCTTGTTCCGCTCTTGGGGATCGTACTCGAACGGTTGCAACATGACCTATGGGCCGACATGAAAGAGGAAAGGCCTTAGAATTGAAAGGATTGAGCGATCGAGCTAGACCGATCGGAGATTCGATGCAACTTTTTCTCCAGGGACTCACGTGGACATTCGTGCTTCTGTGAGGTTCTATAACACCGCAATTGGGCCGCACGCAGTATTTTTTCGGAGCCGTTGTTTTTACTTTAAAACACACTCTTTCATTCGAAGGGTTGGTGAGCTTCAGCAGGGCGGTGACCACTTCTTGGAATGGACCTGGATACATGAATGAAAAGAGAATGGTTCAATGGGAATTCCATAAGTCATCGAGATCCCAATCGCCCTAGCCCACTTCTTCTAGCCAATCAACAGAGAGCCTCCTCAACTGGAGAAGCAGCGAAACGTAGCCGAGGATGCGGATCTCATTCCGAGAATGAGTGATCGGTCCGGGGAACACCCTCAGACTCCCGGAAACTCTGTCTGGACAGGAAAACTTAATCGGCACGGTGCATCTGAGGGCCGAAGTTTCCCGGTCAAGAGAAGAGAAGACCAGAGAAGTCGCATGAGATGCGGAAGGATCGAATTTCGATCGATGTGAAGAGCATTCCGAATGGGGCAGTAAAAAAATGACATTAGCGCACGACCTGGCCAAGGGGCCAAAAGCTAGGGGTGATGACCATCACTTCACACTGTGTTTTCTAATTCAGCGCTCGCCACGCAGCCAGTCAGAGTCAAAAGAGAGAGATCGTCGATTCGGGTTTCCCCGTCCCGACGCCTTGAATCGTTGTCCCATAAGAGCAAGTCTAATGTATTGAGAGCTGAACACGCGAGGCAAGACGTTGGGGCTTCCAGGCCGTTCTTGGTGGTTCCTGGATCAGTTAATCTCCCACTTGTGTCGCTTCATCCTCGCGGCTTAATGATGACAAAAACAAAAGCAATATGAGATCGCCGCCGTACCAAAGAGAGACGTCGCGGATGTCTCTGACTGAGCGAGGAGCCAGTGGCCGGACATATGCTCTAGTCTGCCAGAGGCTCATTTCACAACAGCCAAGGAATTTGTCGTCAAGCAATCGAAGCCTCCAAACGAGCGACACGTAATTATGTTCATTCGAAGATCGACTTTCCGGCACTCGAGGGAATGATCGCCATTCGATTATTACGGGCGGCTTTCCAATGAGATTCTTCTCCACCGCCTTGCCTACAGTACATGTCGAGGGGAATATGTCCAGACAGACACTTGGCGCACCATGTTTGAGATATCTCGCGAGTGGAATGAGTCTAGGGGAGTGATTTCCATGACATTAACCTCCAAGCAGATCGTTGAGAGCCCGGTCAGCCACCACCACTTTCTGAAGAAGCAGCCAGTGCTACACTCGGCCCACTTTCTTTAGAGAATCGTCTCCCCGTCTGTCTGGCCTCCGAATCCGAATGGAGTATCGGAGTCGGCTCGCAGGCTCGCTAGCAGCCAGAAGAATCTGTGGATTTTTCTGTAGCGAGGACACTCACCTCGAAATCTCAGCTCATTTTTAGGTTCGAGCTGAAGTATTTGATCCATTATGGCGCGCTAATAACCGCTTTCGAGACGGCGCGATCGAAGTATTCTCGCTGAGGGCCTCGGGACTAGAGCTCCGTTGCTTTTTGCTCGCAGAAGTACACTCTAGAACTCGCCGAAATTACTGAACAATAGCTGCCCACAGCACTTCCGAGCAGCCACAGTGGTGGTTCCAATGTTATCCCTTTGAGCGCATGCGCTTCCTGTAGGCTGCTCCCGTGGCGACAACCGCTGAGCTGGCGGCTGTCAGAAGCCCGCCAAAATTCAAAATACCCATCTAGCGTCGGCTGAAATATGGACTGTCGAAATTTCACCCACCAACCGCGCCTCATGTTCCATCTCCATTGAGGACTTCTGATGAACGATTTCAAGGAGACCGTGCGCTTAAAACTCTCTGAAAGCTTCCCAAATGAAAGTGGATTCCCGTGGACACGCTGGAAAATGGCCGAGAGCTCTTTATTCCTTTTTCAGATCCCGATTCCGATCATTTTGATGCCAGCTGGCTCTCCTTGGAGGGGAAAAACTGGACTCGATCGAGCATCTCGAGAATGTGGAGGGGTTACATGACCCCCGGAGGTTCAGATGTGCGCTCAGAGTCCCCGATGATAGACATCAGCTGACCAGGAAAAGTCACATCCATGTGAAAACACGACCGGTCGAGAAATGGCGCGGTGAGCTCGGCTCAACTTCTGAAGCCTCCGGCAAGACGCTATCCGACCGGTATTAAGGCGGTATATTATCCGGGCTCCGTGGGGGTCATGAATTGGTGACTTTAATTTTGGTGAATTTGATTAACGAGACTGTAACGATTTCCTTCTCGGGAGATACACTGTTCCTGCGGGATCGTTGCAAACTTGAATCGTTCGATCTTTGCGGATCCCACAAAATTCACGGAATATCTTGTTCTGGAACGCGCGAAGAGGACTGCGATCGCATCCCGCTCGGAAATACGAGGCGGGATCGCTGTGTCATTCCGAAGATCTCGGGGTGGGATTCCGCTATCATTCCATGCTAGAGAACAGACTCCTGTGGACCCGGTGCCCGAAGCTACATCAGGTATTAGGATCTAGCCGTGAATTGTTACGATGGCGATTTCGCTCACGTCACCTACAGCAGGAGCTCTTGTGAACTCCAGCCGCAATCATCAGCAACCTTTGCCTCAATTACCCTAAAGTCGAGCCTCGAGGGGACAGAGGACATTCAGCCCTGAGGTTTGCTCAATACTGCCGGTACAACAAACACAAGAAGCCGTAGGTTGAGCACAGATCGGCTGGTAGTCGGTGGGCGAGCATTTAATTCTATTGGACGTGGAATTGTATGGCTCCATCCATCTTCGCAAGGCTTCACCGTGGCACTTATGAACACTTTCGCTTCGACCACGTCTCAGGTCAGCTTGTCGCGAACTTGATCACTTGCTCATATCCCGATCGTTATTCAAAGAATCAGGTGCCGAGAATACGTGCCGCCTGGCCGAGCTGGAATCCGACGGGGCGATGCCTCCCCGGAACGACCGGAAAAAATATTACCGCGGAGGATCTCCGGATCATATCCTAGGATATCCCTCACGGACTCCAGATTATTAGAGTTTCTAGATATGTGGGGGAAGATCGGTTCCTGGAGCCGTCGCTTCGACGGCGTCAGAGAGGAGTATCTCAATATTTCAGTCCCATGAATATCTCAGACAGTCCACAGTCTTTGACATTGATCAATGAGATTGCGTCGGGGTACGCTACCGCGTTGCGTCATCTCCACGGTCATACTATTCGAGTCCTGAAAAGGATTGACTTTCGCACATTTTCGCGGGTTGCAGTCGCGACAAGTATCGATCTTTGAACCCCGACACCATCTGGCTCTGTTTCTGATGAGATTCCTCCCGAGTAGGAGACACGCTCTGGGATTCTAGCCACAGGAGAAGTGCGCGGCTTGACCGAGCTTTCGCCGTAACTTCAGTCAACAATTTGGGCAGCCTCAGATCCCTTGTTTGTACATTTTCCTTTGCCGTCCGAATTCTGATGCATGATTTCTCGGAATTCAGGTGCCACGCTTGGACCTCAGCATTGGGGATGGATTCTTTTTCGAATCCGTGATGATGATTCTTTGTTATGATTGACTTGGAGTTCTCGGAAAATTTCCGGGGGTCATTGACAGCGTGGATTCGCGAGGGACGAAGCTCACATGAAGCTCGCGTTCGCAGATGAGCGGATTCGAGGATAGAGATAATAAAGAAGCAATTGGTTCGATCGTTTCCTGAACGAGAACACCGCTATAAAGTGCGCCGAATCCCCCGTCGAGGTAGAGGAAAAAAGGTGGATTAAAGCCAGATTGTCCTCCCATGCTTCCTTGATGCGCTACTGAATAATCACTGTGGCTCATTACTTAACGGAGTGCGAACGCAGTTCCTCCAAAACGCGCCTGCTTTATTGCAAGGAGGCATCCTTCAGGTGGACCGGAATAGCTCTCGGAACGGGCGTAAACGGCAGGGTCGCGAGAAACCTCTGACTGAATGAATCGATCTGGGCTCTTTTCCGACGGTGGGAAGACTGACTTGACTTGCGTCGACTTTGGGATACTGTGTGTACAATCTCGCAACGGAGAGAATAAACGAGTCCTGCTGCTCTGAGGCACGCATGCATACGGTCATCGATTCTACTTAGTTAACTGCATCTACGACACAGGTTCGAACCCGAGAGAGCTGCCTTGCTCAGTTGCTCCCGAACATCGAACAGGGACGCGAGAAAGCCCAACGTGACGGATCCAGCATCGTTTCGCTGCAGCGCTGGCTGAAATTCCCGTCGATGTGGGCTTTCAAGAAACGGCTTAGTCCTTCGGCCCCAGCTCTTCCCAAGGAGGCAGTCAAGCAAAACAGTTCAGGCATGATGCAACATCGAATAAAGCTCCGAAGTGACGATGTCCCCGGGATCAGGAACAGACCAGGGGATGCCATTGTCGACATCGGCATAGAGGGGGAACGGAACGCTGCGCGTGATAGAACACATTCGAATTCGGTACCCAGAGTTCATCCACGCACTGTTCGGCACCAGCACCAAGTCAGGAATCAATACACTGACACCTCTCAGTCAGGCCGATTTCAGCGTGAACATTAAGACCATCGCGCAGACGAGTCTGTACTTTCAACCTGTCTCGTACGACGGGAAACTCGTCATGGACCAAGAAACCATATCTTTGACATTGAAAAGCAAGGTTTCCCCTTGTTCACGCAAGAAAAGTTCATTGGAACCTGATGGCTTTGGACTTCATGATTCACGAATGATGTATCCTTTGTGATGTCAGAGAATATATGTATCCTCAATTCGCTGGGTGGTTAGGCGACGGGATTATTTGGTTTAACCTTGGCTTAAAAATCAAACGGGCTAGCGAACATTATGAGCTGAGGATGGTGTGGATGTTGAGGATGAGTGATCCTATGCCTATGAATGAGAACTGAGTGAGACTGCTCTGGTGCGACTGGTCGTGCGACTGGTCGTGCGACTGTCACAAGCACTCGTCGTCGATCTGTCGATCCACCATGTGTGGAATTCCAAGGGGAATTTTCTGAGAGCTCTGAGTGCAGACGGAACATCGAACGTCTCGAAGACCTGTAAGTAAAGAGAGCCGCTTTCCTTCCCGGGAAGATATTCTAATGGGAAGGGATCTCCCATGTCGAGGAGCGACCCGGTGTCATTGCTGCTACGAAGATCCACTCCCCCTCCCGAGAGCAAGGAACAAGTCGGAGGAAAAAGCGACATCGTATCTCCACGACCTCCGGAACGTTGGAGTCGATTAGAGGAGATGTTTGTTCGATATTTCCGATTTTCTCGCCCTCGTACTGCGATAACGATACCTGGGTAGGTAGTTGGGTAGTGGATTTTCGCCCGAATGGAAACTCTGCACTTAAGCCGAGCGAGTGATCTTCTCCGCAGGATACAAAGGAGAAGGATTATATTCGGTCATCGCCGACGGATTCCCCGTACAGCCCACGGCTGGTGGGCTTCTCGGTAGTTCGGTCAAGTCGTGGACGGAGGGGGTAGACGGTGGCGGTAGTCGCTACGGCAGAGCCCGCCCTCTGTCGGCTACGAGGGAACTCAGCAGAGCCACGACCATCTCCACAACCGCTAACGCCAGCTAAGGCCGTGAGGCATGGAGCGAGTCATATACATAGACGACGACGACGATCGAGAGGAGGAGCTCAGTGTGCCAGTGAAAGCAGAACTCTTCGAAAGAGCAGACAGGCGCACCAAGGCTGCCGCTACTGCTTTTGTTATGATCATGAGTTCATAGAGGCTGGTGGTGCAGCTCTCGTCTGGATTTCGGAGTGGCGAAGGACAGCGCAGAGACCCGCGTGAAATTCACGCTGCTCTGTTCCATCTAATAGCATGCAGGCGCTTGAGTTGTACACGGACTGGAATCTTCGGCTTGTTCCATTTATTTACATCGGCACAGTGATTCGCTGAGTTGTCTGCGAAAAGTTCCGGCTTGCCACAGTCTGCGAAGTTCGCGCGGAACTCCCGCCTCTAGGGTGAGTTTACTTTGTCTCAACTTTTGCGGACTCCACTGACGGCGCAGGGAGCCGATGTTCAGGCAACTGGACAGCTTCTGGACACTTGCGAGAGCACGCGACGAGACGTGGGGAGCCAGCATCAAAAGTCGCTCTTTGGAACAGTCTTTATCGAGCGGAGACGAATCGCGATGATTCACCGCATCGTTCATTCTCTTCAACGTTCGACACTGTAGGAACTGCCGCGGCGGAGCAGAGCGAAAATGTGGAATGCGGGACAGACGCGAACATGAGTTCACAGTTCTTCGAATTGTGACACTAAGGATCGGAGTTCCCAAACTTACAGAGAAAACTCATTACATCGCGGAAGTTTGCCGATCGCGTTCGGGTCTTTTCTGTCCGAACGGAGTTTTCGCACGAGGAGCCTACACATCGAAAAGCTTCTTGACATCTTCGTGATTGAATCGAGTATTGATTCGTGTCCGTAGGAGAATATCACACCGATATTCTTCTCTTGTGGGATCGAGTTCGGCTATTTATTTATAGAAAACTGTAACCTGATGAGGCGCTCAACGAAGATCAGCTGCCGCCCCTGAGATCCTCCGCAGTGTCTAAATTGGGTGCGGATTTTTGTTTACGGGCTACTCAAGATCCTAGCTAGAAGACGATCTCTTCCCCTTCTCCTCGATCTACCCGTTCCGAGAATCTGCTTCCATAACAACTGCGGTCTCTCGCGACGTCGTCGTCGTCTCCGCCGCCGACCCCATGTAGGAGCGAGCGTAGTTCAAGGATCGGATTGCGCGGCGATAGAGTACACCGCAAGGCAAATATCCCGAGGGCATAAGTTTTCACTTGTGAACTTTGAAGAAGTTTATGGAGTTCAGCTTCTTCCTTCGTTCAGCGGTCGACCGAACCGGGTGTTCTCCACTCCTAAGCCTCGAGCAGAAGCTTGTCATGTCACGTCGTCACGTTGCGAGTCTTCGTTGGGGAGACGACGGGACACACCGGATGTAGACATAACGCATCGTAATCCGCCGGTTCTGTGATTCCATCGCGGAATCCCATTCTGGCGCAGCTCTGAACTTTTGCCGAGCCACCACATATTCGGACTCCGATTGAATGTGGAAAAAGAATAGGATAGGCGATCGTTTGAATTATGCCGCGGACTCAGAGGTTTGCTCTTGCGTAACGCTTGCTAAATACAATATTCAGCCGCGAGCGGACGAGGAGACAGCTCGGACCCCCCTCAGCCGCTCCCCGCTTCGGGTCATCGACCGACACCTGGATCGGACTGCATGCATGCTTTCCTGTCTTTGAATTCGATAACGTCCAAGTGGAGGACGATGCTCCCCACCTTGTTGGGCTTTCCCGCTCGCTGTCCTACGAGACCTTTCCCCGTCCAACAAGATCCCGTCAAGCATATCAAGCAGTAAAAACCAACATGGGGGCTCCCGTGTGGGTAAGAACGAATGCGTACGATCGTCGCCGATGTGCGATATTCACGGTTTTCTCCCAGAGCAACATCATTCGACACTGCCTCCAGTGCTTGTTCTTGCGTGCCTTCCATCCCTTTTTTCTTATTCGAGGGCAGAGCGGCTTTTGTGCTTTTCAGAGGTCCATTACTGTCCCTAATCTGTATTTGCTTTTCATTCTCCCCATTGCCCACCTCCCCCCTGGATGAACTCGCTTTACGCTTGCTGGGATCGTCTTCAGACCCACGGTATTGTGCCCGTGTCGGTGCCGGTCTCCACCCGTGTGCGTGTAGTCAACTCTTCCGAATAGATACTGCCCGTCGACGCCACATACGCTATTATATACGCCCGACGTCAATATTCTACCCCGTTTAGAAAAACTCGTATCGTCCCCCATTCCGTAGGACTGCCAGTCAGAATCCATGCGCTAGGCGCCAAAATAGATCAAGGCTCTAGCAGATTCATAAGTCGAGCCACGATAACAGGACGGGCGGAGATGCAAAGAACCTTTGCAGAAATCGGATCGATTCCGAAACTAGCTCCCAAGTCTGAATGCGGCATGAGAACTCGGGGTGCGGAGAAGAACAGTCTCATGACACCTTCGGAGGATCGAGTTTCCCCGCAGGCTGCTCTTTAGACTAGGGAAGAAGGGGAAAAACAGAAAAGGTTCAGAGCTTGTTTGTTTTGGGCGTTTCGGTACTGTTCCACGTGGCTCAACATAGCCTCGCATCGAACGTCTCCGCACCGCTGGTAACAGACCCAAGAGCAGGCTCGGCTAGAAGAGAGGCGTTCCAAATAACAATCTCTCGCGATGTTACTCGAGAGCTTTCAAATCGGCACCGATAGCAACTCATCTGCATACACGTACCAATGCTGCTGACTGAGTGAGTCTAAGCTCACTCCCGACAAACTCTCCACGCCGTCTCTTTCCGTGAATTCTCTCTTCCCGGGTGCATCTCGGAGGGTCCGCCGGCGAGGAGAACCAATTCACTCGACACCGAACCTCAACCAGATGCCGATGACGACTTTTTCGTACTCGGTATCACATATTCGATTGCTGGGGGCCGGCGGCGTTCGGCCAGCGGCCGTGAATCGTGTCGGACGGTGGATCTGGCGTGCGTCAGGTACGCGGGAGGACGTGCAGACCCAGCTACGACTAGATGGCTCCGAGAGGAGGGATGGCGGAGGGAGTACAATATCTTCGAAGGCGGCTGTGCATCGAATCGTTCTCAGCCATTCAAGCCACCAACCACCGGCATGAAGCATCCAGATGGAAGCACGGATGCGCGCCGTTCGCACGGCCGGCCGTCCGCTGTTGCACGTAGTGCATTTGCACGGTAATGCACTTCGTACTCGGAACGGATCTCCGCCCAGTGGGTATTGAATGCTCCGATAGTGATCCAGTTTCGGGTAGGCGAGGAATGGACTGAGCGTTCCTTGCCTTCGCTCGAAAGACAATCAGGATCCTCTGGCATTGTTCTTCGTTGAAGATTCCTTGCTCGATCGCTTCACCGGCAGATATCGGTCCACTGAGGCGGATTTCTCCTTGCCGAGAACGAGCGTGATTCGGAAATCCGCCGCTTATGGATCCTTTGGAGGGAGTGGCTCTCCCTGAACCCGGGACCCTCACGATTTCCCATGAAGATGACTTCATTTTTTCACGAGCGGATGCTCCGCGGCCACTCACGCGTTCGAAGTTTTCGCTCGGCGCAGGAGCCAAAATTTTTTGACTGAAAGATGATATCGTGCGTACATTCACATTCATTCGAGCTTCCGTCCTTGTTCCGAGGCTTCGAGAGACTCTTCCGCCGGATCTCTGTGAAATCCCCGGGAAGTGGAGCTGATTCCGACTGGAATTCAGATGATCCGATGCATTGATTGACTATCCGAAGTGCGTTGATTCCAGAAGCTCGAATTCCAACTCTACCGATCGCATCCGAGGGGTGGTATGACTCATGAGATGCACGTGAATGATTCGGAGAACTGATTCGAGGGAGGTTTCGAGCTCTCTAGAGACTCTAGAGAACATCCCCCTATCCCGTGGTTTGGATGCCGAGATTGTCGACCAACGCTCTCGAGGCACTTTGAAAGACGGCGAGGAATGAGACGAAAGTGGAACTGTGAGCGTGAATGCCGTACCGGCGGTCGTTGCACTCAGTTCTCGTGTTTTCGGGCCTCCTCCTGTAGCGTCAACTCTGTCCCCGTACCGGATGCTCGTTCTCAGTCAGTCGCGACAAAAACAGAAAAGACAGCAACGACTTGGATCAAAGGCTCCGGCGTTGTTACCTCTGCTGCGTTCGCTCCGTGCATCGTTTCACTTGTCGCCGGAACTGTGATCGTCACCAACCTTGTCGCTGATGTCGTCCGCCTCTTCACGAGACCGGTGCGTAACTAGCTCGTGATTATTTCCGCAAAGGGTCCGAAAATCCCGGTCTGACAGAATGGAATCTTGTCGGCGTCGCCGGGCTTTCAGTGAGCTGACTGAGCGAGGGCCAAGCTGGAGAGCTCTCCCGCGTATCCTGCGCTTCTTATTATCCGGGTCGAGGAGGGAAACACAGGTGTGAATGAATCAATGGGGTTTGCTCTCTTGTGATGTTGATCATACACTCGACATCACGCCTCGATGATGAAGCCTCATGCCTGCGACAAGTGAAGCCCGTATTGAATCACAGAGGCCTTCCCTCCCCCTTCTGCCGCTCCTCCCGTCCATGGACTCGATAGACTGTGATTCCTGTACATTCCGACTGACTGGGATCAGGAGTCTCTCCCGCCTCCTATTGAATTAGGCTCTTTCATATGCATCGCGCTACATGACGAGACAGGCTTCTCTTCCAAGTTAGCCATGCGTTGCCTCGGGGAACTTCTGCACTCTGCGAGCGAGGAAGCCAACATCGTCTCCCCTTCGATCTCTCTTCGTCCGCAGACGGTCCGTGCACCCACCCGGCTCGTCGCTATCAACGTATTCATCGGTTCCATACCTGAGGCTCCAGTATCCACTCCGTTTGGAGAACTCGACTACACACTGCGCGTCCCGCTCTTGTTCTCGGCGCTCGACCCGGGCTTGTACCAGGAGTCGTGTGTGTTCACGACCGTGCGCGGAAGACCGTGGAGAACCGAATCCGAGCGCCGACGTCGTCTCGAATACCCGAAACGTCTTGGTTCGGGCGGGCTACGGGGAAGTATTTATGTATATGAGGTACCGTACGACTTTCGGGGAGCTCGAGGAATTAACCGTCAGCGACGAGGAGAGAAAGAGCTTCCCGCGTCGAGATGTGAGGGGTGTCGGAGGGGGTTCCGTGACGGACCGCGATCCGGCGTCTCGTTTTGGGATTTTCCGTTCTTCTCTCTCATTTCCCGGAAACACGGCTCCGTCCTTCTCGCCACCTCCACGAGAAGGAAAGCGGGAAACGGCATCGCTGCGAGGGAGAATAACAACAAGGTCGGAAGAGACAGACGGCGCTGTTCCCCACACCAGGAAATAAGATGTTCCCACAAGACGGTTTATCCGATTATTTTGAGAAGAGCAACACTCAATCGGGTGAGATGCTGACTCCGCTGCTCCGTGCTTGTCTTCCCCATCACATATTTTAGCGGCAAAGCTCCGGAGTCTAACCCGACTACATTTCATGACTGCGGGGAGAAGGCGGCCGCCGCATAGCGGCGCAGCTTTCGGCACCAGGATCTGAGTCGGCACCGCCAGCAGCTGTGAGAGAAATAGGCTGAACGGGCAGGCGCCGTATCTGGTGGTGATCGGAAACGCCACGTTGATTCCCTTTCTATAGAGCCCGTTGCGGTGAAATAGATCAATCACAACACATAAGTCGGGGGGTCTAGTCCCTTGACAGCCGACCGATAAATTTTCCTTCGCCGCAATCTCGTGCAAGACATCTTATCTTTTTTATTGCTCGCATCCACATATCTCCCATTTCACTTTCCCCCCTTTTCATAGCCGTCTGCTTTCTTCCCGGCTCTTCCACAGCCTCGGCCGTCTCCTCAGAGGACGTCCGACGTTGACGTCCATGGCGTTTGGGCGGTGGCGGCGGCGGCGCCGCCGGGGACTACGATGACGCCAGCAAGGAAGACGTCGGTGACGACGACCTGGTAGTCAGGCGGAAGGCAAAAGAGAGGAAACGTGGGAGAGAAAAACGACATTGACAAATGATAGGAGAGCGTGCGTGCCGGCTTGCCAAAAACCGTGTCTTCCCCTCAAACGCCCCGAGATGCATCCGTTGCGTCAGCCGTCGGTGTCGTAGCAGAAGCAGGCGACCCTCTCCATGATTTCGAGTGAACGAGTGAAATAGGTTGTGGCTAGTCCTCTAAGCAAGCGACGGATGTGCGTTCGACCATTGTCGCCGCGGGTGCTCACATCCGCTCTGACAAGCAGCCAAACAGTGCGGACCTACAAACAGACGACGGCGAGCGTACATACACACACCTCGATGCGCCCACGTACGACTCTTCCGTTCTCTACGGCTGGCCTGCCAGAGCAGCTAGCCAATCACCCACCGGGATCTCCGGGGCGAGCTGAACGCTCGGCTGTCCACCGCGTCGTGCATTAGAGTCCCGGGACTCGGAACGACATGAACCCAGGTTTTTTGTCTCACGGAATCCAGGGCCAACCGTGCTCGGAGCTCCCATCTTGCATCAATGCCGAAACGGAACAATCGATCAGTATCGATGGTCCTCACGAAATCCCGCCAAGCGTATCTGCGGGCTTGTGGAGCGACCGAAGAATCATCTTCGCGCTCAAGTTCCGATCTGCTCGAACCCAAGGGGAGATTTTCCTCGTTGAGACATACGGCTCATCGAAATCACATTCTACTACTCTCGAGGATTACCCGACTCGCGGCGCACATCCGGACTGGCTCGAGCGGAGGGCTCTGCTTTGCTCAGATACTCGCTCAGCTCCGAGTAACACCAGACAGCCGACTAAATAAACAAGATCAGCCAAATTAATCGATTCATATCACTCGGACTCAAACACGGTCGCCGATAGGATGAGCGCCCGATCCCCAATCTCTGTTTATTTATTGAGTGCACCGATGCGAGCCCCCGAGCCTATTCGAGAGTCGGGGCACTGAAGCCTTTCGCCCGTTTGGCAAATGAAAAATGTTTTCCGTTGCTCCAGTCGACGACAGGGTTACCATTCCGTGGCTATCGTGAAGCGAAACATCCCCTTGTGAACTGAATGAATCGGTGTTTGGAATCGCTATCCAGGAGGAAAAACCACGGGTCCTTATTGGAGTGTTGCTGAGTGAGTGGGAGACAATCTCCTGAACGAGGAAGGGAAGCCCGATACTGTGGGGCTTGTGACAGAGTCTCCTTAAAGCTCGTGCTCCGTGAAGCTGATTTATTATCGCCGCTCTGAAGGTGGCCGGACCCTCGAGAGTGGCAACGTCGAGGAGAAATTGCCCTTAGAATAGTTAACCACCTTCAATCAGCCGGCAGTCCCGTTCATTTGGTCGCTTGGTGGGTCTCCCGGTCGGTCGGTGGGTCTCCCGGTCGGTCGGTGGGTCTCCTGGTCGGTCGGTGGGTCCCCCGGTGGCTCGGTCCCTCGTCTCCCAAGCTGCCTCGGTGTGGACCTTCGTTGCAGACCTCGCAGGCAGAGGTAGACAACGACGGCGGCGACGACGACGACGACGACTTGAGTCTACTGATCAATTATTGAAGTGAGCCGTTCCTGAGCGCGCCTCGCGGCGACATCGCTTTGGGGAAATGCTGTCTAATCGAGTTTTGTTTTTAGTTTTCCAGGAGGGCGAGGAGGAAGGCGGAGCCATGCCCTCGCGTCGAGGCTCTCGATGTCAGAAAGTGTGCGACTGACTCGTGAGCATGCTGACGTGAAGGGCCGCTGGCCCGAGTCGCCCGTGAATGAGAAGTCTGCCCCGGCGCCTGGGCCTGGCCGTCGTTTTGTTCGTATCACTATTGTCACTATGGAAATCGTTCAGCGTGGATCGACTGGCCGTATCACGGCGGACGGTCGGGGCCCAACAGGAACAGGAGAAGTTGAGGCAGACGGAAACGAAGAACCAGCTTCTGAAACGAGAACTTCAAGAATGTTACGGTCAACTGCTCAATCTGCAGCGGACCAACGATAGCGCACAGGTTAGTCGGAAGGATGATCCCTCTCGCTGTCCGGATCGACCCCAGAGATCATCGATAGTGGCGTGGGACGCTCGGTGACGTAAATTCAGTGGGGCGACGCGTTTTCCCCGATTCTCAATCACTCAGCGACTCCGGTCGCGGGCATCGCGCCTTGAACGCCCCAGACCCAAGAAGTTTGCGATGGAATCCTTCATTAGCAAACAGCTTGTAGCCTCAAGCTTCAATTCCATGATGAGCATCTTGACATAAGGCGGCACGGCGGCCGGCGATGGAGCACGTCCGCTGAGATTACAGCGGTGCCGTCGCTAAACCCGTCAGAGAAATCCATTTTGAAGCGCCGGCAAAGCCGCTTATCTCACCCGGAAGGAAAAGGGATACAGTATTGAGATAAGATGAGGAGGACGAAAGATAAATTAATGAAACTCAGCCACGTCAAGGGCGCGACTTCTCATTAGAGATTGCATAATAATCTGCCGGAAAATGGGGCGGATGCACCCTTCGAGGACACGAAGGATTCGGATGAATATCTAAGGGAGGTGCCGATCCCGAATCACTTGTAAAACGCAGCTGCCTCTGCGCGACTTTGACCATGATGACGCCAGGACCCGAACAACGGGGAAAAATGTGGAACGAGATCTAAGGTCGCTCGAGGCGACGTGATCTGCTTCGCGAAGGAACTATCGGCCGACTGGCCGCTGGGTCGGTCGTCGATTTGTCAGTCGTTCGCAAGAGACAGGTCACCCGTTCGTGGGAGGCAGGTTGCGTAGATTGCGCTCAAGCACCACGCATTGGTTCCAGTCGGAACGGAGAGAGATTCTGACGCTATCATGAGCTGAGTAGTGAGCTGAAGGAAGACCCGGGAGATACGGTACAACCAACACGTCGTATGCGAAACAGGTGCGACACAATCAGCCCGAGGGAGGAATTCCCGATTTTTCCCGACCGGTCTCGATCGATGACTGGAGCAGAAATCGGGAGATGTTCACTAGAAGCCATGAGACAGTTCCCTGAGATTGTTCCTTTGACGAGTTGTATGAAAGACGTTGCCGCGACGACGTTGTCCGACTCGGCGAAATTGGACCTTTTCAATCGAAATCGACAGACGAACAAACGGAAGGTCCAACCTCCCCATGGTCAGACGTACGAATCAAGCTGCAGGTGGACCTTCCTAATATTTTTCGTCTATCGTCTAATCGTTAGCGTCATCTAGTGCTGAGAAGAAATAGACAGGCGGACGAGATGAAAGACGAACATTACGTGTAGGCCTTTGTTAGGATTTCTGAAGGGAAAAGCGCAAACCCCACGGAGTCTCTTCCTCTGGACGTCGACTATGACGCAGGCGACGGCGACGACGACGACGACGACGACGATAAGGGGGACCCGGAGAAAGGAGGCAGGTGCTGACCATTACAGGGTCGGTGGGTGCGCGAGCAGTCAGCCGGTCGGCGCAGTTGAACAAAATAGAGCGGGCTGACGGCGAAAAGAACCACCGGGCTCCCGTGCCATGCCAAACGAGGAGCGGAGACGGAGACTTTCTTTGTGCACTTCACGACTTCAGCCTCCTTGACATTCCTCCGGAATTACTCTGTAGACCAGGATTGGTCCCCTGTCACTCGACGAATGGAAGTGTTCTGAAGTTTCTTGACTGGCGAACGAGGTTGTCTGCCTGTCGCTGAACATTTTTTATTCGTCCGGGAAAATAATCCAACGCCCGCTCGAGGCTTTGATCACTGCTCCTGGGAGCTACAGGGAACAGGCTCGATCAAACGGAACGTCATTTCGGAACAAGCGACTCTGGGACGTCCCTGAATATGCTCATCACGAGCGGCTTCGCCCACCAATCTCGAATTCGAGCGACCTCTGCGAGAACGAGGGGAACAAGTCTAGTTGGTGGGACCGAGTAGTTCGACGCGTGGACTCCTCTCGGAGTCGAGCTCAGATGATCGAGACTTGGATGGGTATCCCCCCTGATGAAAATAGGTGAGATAACTTCGATTCTCCCGCTCTATGCTCATCCGGATGATGCGGGGAGATCAATGAAAGCAATCAATACAGATCAATGGACCGTATTGGCTCGTCTCGATGTTCGCGGCTGGGAGCTGATGACGTAGGGGAATTTTTCTCACGCTGAGACGCTCCCGTGAGAGCGTCGCCTCTGAATCCCATCCAGACCCGGCAGATCCCGAACCCCGAGGACGTCCCTTGACTTCGCGTCGACCTTCCAAGGGCGACGATGCTGTCCCGTGATTATGATTCTTGATTATGAATATCGCCCAGTATACCGGAGCGCTTTCACGGGATCGAGCGAACGGAATCCCCCTGCAGCTTACCGATTGCCTCCAGGAAGTCAAAATTGAATCAGGGGAGCCTCATGGCGAGCGTGAGCTCTGAATTAAGGACCTTGAATAAGTAAGGAAGTCTCCGGGCGCTCCACCTTTGCTCTCGCTCGGCATTGCGGTCCGCTAATGCGACCATTCGGTAAAACGCTCTGCTCGAGTATCAAGGAGCGTTTCGTATCGAAGGGATTTCTCTCCCCCATCCCCCTCCGTCTCGGAGGAAAGCTCTCACTTCAGCTCCGGGCCTCTTGAGAGCGGACCGCGAGTGCAATGAACTTCGACGGGGAGCGTTTGTCCCGCTACTTCCCAGACCATCAGATTCCTGAGCAGGATCCTATAGCATTCCTGCATGGTGTCTCGAACAATTAGTGGCGAGGGAATGTTCCGTCTGTTTTCCTTGTAAGGAACTCCAGGGCCTTGCCTCGCGGCGAGTTTCGATCCGCCTTGGAACGACTCGGATTCGTTTCGACTCGGAGCCGCGCGCCGAGTTCGTCGCAAAACGGTTCGCTCCTAGATGCCTATTCTGAATACCTAATTCCATCCGCGTGCCTGTCCTAGTCAGTCCGATGCGAGCAGGACTCCGATCGCTCAGTTAGAGCTCAGAAACGAGACTTATCACTGACGCGAAATCAAATTAGCCTTCGACGTGAGCTTGCCGGGACTCCGTACAGGCGGGCATTTGAGCGGGCGGATGTCGTCCGGCGGTCAGAGACAGTCTAGTTTTTAGCTTGACTGGTCCACACACGGCTGACTTATAGTTCGTGGTGGGATCTGCGTCGGCTCCTCTCAATGATTGAATAGAACCCTATGAGTCCGCAGGATGACGGGTCGATACCCGGAGAGATTAATCTAATTAGAAATGCCCCCCAACCCCGTTTCCCTGCTCACTAGTGGGCCTCATGTAGATATGTACGGACTCGACCCCTTCATGTTGCAGTCATCATTGGCACGCGCCCTGAAATGTCAGGTCATCCACGTGTCGATCGTGTGTGCCGGATACAACTCTACGAGATCTTTAGTCACTCTAATCAAAAGCGTCCTGTTCTACCGGAAAAATCCTCTCCATCTTCATCTCGTGACGGATTCCGTAGCGCACTCGATACTCAGCACCCTCTTCAAAACCTGGGAGATTCCGCAGGTGAGTTCTCTCTTGAACGAAGACCAGAAAAAAAAAATCGGACGTTCTGCCCGCTTAGTCTCTCGCTCGACCACCTCAGGCCAATTTGCATCGGGCGGACAAGCAACGGCGTGGGCACCGGCCGATCCGAGGGTCGCAGTTCCAATAACACGATTGAGTTTCAGGTCGAGTACTCTTTCTACCTGACTGACAAAGTTGCTAAGGACGTCAACTGGATCCCCAATAAGCACTACTCGGGCGTCTATGGTCTCATGAAATTGGTCCTCACCAAAGCTTTACCTCTTTCCTTGGCCAAAACAATTGTGCTCGATACCGACGTGACGTTTGCGTGCGACATCGCGCAGCTCTGGAAACTCTTCGACTCGTTCGGTCCCGAACATGCGATAGCTCTCGTGGAAAATCAGAGCGACTGGTATCTCGGTGAGCATTGTCTGTCTGTCTGTCTGTCTGTCTGTCTGTCTGTCTGCCCCTCCTTGCGAGCCTCTTCCTCGTCGATGTTCCCAAAGCGGGAGATCGGGCGAGCATGGGCGTTATGATCATTAAGGTAATCGAAGACCTTGTCGTCCCCCGGCTCTTCGTCACCGTTCCATATATCGCTCCTCATGCCCTTTCACCGTCCCTCCTCAATGGTCGTGACCCTTCTCAGGCTTAATGAATGATCGGTGAGCGAGCGTTGCCCGTGCGTTCCGTATAAGCCGCAACGATCCGTTTTCAGGTAAACTATGGAAACACCACAAACCGTGGCCCGCTCTCGGTCGAGGATTCAACACCGGGGTGATTTTGTTACACTTAGGAAAACTTCGTTCCAAAGGCTGGGACGAGCTCTGGCGGAACGTGGCCGAAAGAGAGCTCAGCTCCATGTACTTTACGTCTCTAGCCGATCAAGACATCTTCAACGCTGTGAGTTGCTTGACGTCGTTCCCTCTCCCCCCGACCTCCTGTAGGTTCGGCGAGCTACACCTGCACCCTCCCGTTCGTCGTGAATAGTAAACGAGGAGGAAACTACTGATCGATATGTTCGGACGAATAGGTGATCAACTCGTATCCCGCCTTGTTACTGCCCCTGCCTTGTCAATGGAACGTCCAACTCGGAGATAACACACTGTCCGAAGTCTGCTACTCGGAGGTCGAAGATCTCAAGGTCATCCATTGGAACTCACCGAAGAAACTCCGGGTCAAAAACAAACACGTCCAGTATTTCAGGTCCGTCGCGTGCTTCTCGCTTTCCATAGGATTTGCTTCCTTCCCGATTTTCATTTCATTCATTTTCCGATTCTCGCGGGGTTCGTGGCCGATCGTCGTACGGTGGCCGCCTCGCGCAACTCATTCTCGCTTTGATCAAGCATCTCACGTCTGATTGCTTCTCCTCGACAGGAATCTTTATCTGACTTTCCTGGAGTACGACGGTAATCTCCTGCGGCGCGAGTTAATTTCCTGCAACCGGAGCTCTCCCAACGAATCCGGTCCCTCGTCGCAAGATCAACTGCAAGGACTCGATGAAGACGATCCGTGTTACGAGTTTCGTCGAGGGAATATAACGCGCTACCGAACACATCTCTACTATATGGAATACGAGTACCCATCCTCTCCCGGTGAGTTGGTCGACGGTAGGCTTGCACTTTGATCGGAAGCTCCCGTCGGAGTTAGGGGCAAACGTGTCTCAGTGGATCTTCGGAGATGAGCCCCTTATGGAGTCATTGTTGCAGACTATGTGACTCTGGTGACGCAACTCTCGATGGACCGCCTCCAAATGGTGGAGGCGCTCTGTAAACACTGGTCGGGTCCAATCTCGTTGGCGCTGTACCTGTCGGACTCCGAAGTTCAGCAATTTCTGTCATTCACACTCAACTCGGAGGTCCTCTCCAAACGACGCAATATAGGGTAGGGCGATACTTCTTTCACCTCCTCGGCACCCGAAATCAGAGGTCGATTCCGTTCCGCCGAGAATCGATTTTAATTCCTTATAAATCCTTCGACTGGGTGCCCATCCTTCAATGGAGCTTCATTTCGATCGCCAGGTATCACATCGTTTATCGAGACGGGCCGCTGTACCCAGTGAACCATCTCAGGAACGTAGCGTTGGACCAAGCCGACACGCCATACGTATTTTTGTCTGACATCGATTTCCTCCCGATGTTCGGGTTATTCGAAGCTCTGAAGAACTACATCCGTTTTCTGAGGATGGACGCTCCGAATATGGGCTTGTACAGAGCTCTGGTGGTACCTGCCTTCGAAACGCACAGGTAAGACAAATGTCGAGCGAGCTTGAAATCGACAGGCGCCGTCCATCTGCCCGTCCTTGTGATTTACTGCGGTCATTATCATCATGACCGTTATCGACGACTCGACCCTTGGAAAGCGATCATCACAAACTTTCATCATTAGCAGCAATCTCCTCCGCAGGATAGAGAGGGGGCGGGGGTTGGGTTGTCTGTGAAGAGCCCGAGTTGCACAAAGTCCCTCTCTTGCAGATATCGCGTCGAGTTTCCCACCAGTAAAGCCAAACTACTGAAAATGCTTGACGACGGTCGAGTGTTCACTTTCCGACACGACGTTTGGTGTGCGGGTCACGCCGCCACCGACTTCGCGCGATGGAAAACCGCCACGACCCCCTACGATGTGAACTGGCAACCGCATTTCGAACCGTATGTTGTAGTTCGGAAGGAAGTTGTGAGGTTCGATTCTCGCTTCCTCGGCTTCGGTTGGAACAAGGTAAAGGATTCGCGCTCCCAACCCCTGCGTCGTGCAAGGCTGCGTGTGCTGCCCGATAATTTTATCGTATCTAAGAGATTCCCGCTCCTCCAAGGTATCTCATGCTCTGGAGCTGCAAGCACAGGGATATACGTTCACCGTACTCCCGAATGCCTTCGTTGTCCACCTGCCGCATGCTCCTTCACTGGATATCGCTAGATTCCGTTCGTCGAAAAAGTGAGTGCATGAGCCTCTGACCGGTTCTCGTCGGCCATAAATGGGGCCAAGTAGGTGGTACATGGATGCGCCCAAATGTTCGTAAAAAATACCCCGCCTCCCCGCAGGTATCGGGATTGCTTGAAGAGTCTCAAGCAGGAGTTCGTCGAGTACATCAACGTGAGATACGGCAAACAACTGATGACCGACCCCGAATCTACAACAGTTCGTTGCAGTTGAGAGAGTGGGTGACGCTCCCGTGGTCGCCCGTCGCTCCGTTGTCTCGGAGGCAGGATGCCCACGAACGCGTAATTATATGGGTCACATTCAATCGAGATTTGTGATGAAGTCTTGTTGGGATTCTTGATTTTTCACTCCGTACGACTTCCGAAACCCATTGACCGCGTCATTTATCCCGGAATCAAAGAGCCATCAAATGGAGCAGACGTTTGAATGTGGGCATTTTGCGGTTCTGGGACGCAGATGGTCTTTCTTCGGTGTACAAAGGAGAACCGTGATGGGAAATTCTCTAGCCGAGCTTATCCAAGAGGACTTTCGCCCTCGCTTCGAACGACTGGAGAGAGTCCCTGGAATTGAGGATCCGATCGAGGATCGAAGCCAAGATTACGTATGACTTTCAACGCACATTGGACCCTTAAGTGTATGCAAGCCGATAAAAGGAACGAACTAGTACCCTGAAAACTCATTGATCATGCTTTTTTCGGCAGTGCCATAATATAGTCAGTAGAGATCGGTCTCTCGCTGATCCTGATCTATCCTATTTCGGTGCCATTGGTCCTGAGTGATCGAAGCCATGTTTTCCTCACGACAAATGAAGAGTCAGACACAAGATGATGAGTATCATTTGTCGCTGTCAGTGACGAATAAGACTCGAGGTAGTTAATGGTCATGCCTTTGACGGGAGTCCGGAGAGAGTACGATCCCCCATGATGGGGGCGCTCAAGGAGTCCTACGTGGTCGGAGTCGAAATTTTCCCATATAGGTAGGTGCTTATTCCTCCTGGTCCACTTCTATTGTGATGTCACACCCGCCCGTTCCATTGCTCTGCACAACGAATCGGATGGCTATACATATGCCCTGCCAGTCAACCGAAAGATGGCCGCAGGAGCAGGCCTTGGAACATGTCAGCCGCTAGATCGTAAATACCTCGATCAAGAGAGCTTGGTCGACTAATTAGGATCCCATGGTAATCTCGAAGCAATCAGCACGACATATGCAGTATATGTAGCTTATAAGTGAATGTATTCCCAGGGCATCCGCTTCCTGATGTGGAACCAGATGTGTCTCTTATACGAGTGACGGGAATTGGGTGACTCTCGATGAAAGAACCAGCTCTCAGTGAACTATCAATGCGGCCAGCGCAGTTCGCGGACGACATGGCGATGCATTTACAGTATCAGATTTTATTTGGGGCAACCGATCGAAAGCAGATGAGGTAGGGGAATTTAGGAAATTGTCTCATCCTGATCGAGTTCGAACTTCAGCGGTGGTCCTCGTACCTCGCTGACCTGACCGCTACTTGTAGGAGATCCGATCCAATGAGTCGACGACTTCTCGAATAATTGTTCCCCAATCGAGTAAGGAATTGTGGCAAAGAAGCAATCCTGCTCAGGGCCAGACTCCCCCTACCCTTACCAAGAATTCATTGCGAACCAGGTCGGAAATAACTGTGTGTGAATGAATAAATATTCTTCCCGGATGGAATACGGAAGCCAAGTATTTTGAACGTGTTCTCGATATGACTCCGTTTGATGGACTCGATGAGAATAGAGGATTACGAGGACGGGGTCCGGGGAGCAGCCTTTGTTTCATTGACGGTTCATCGACAGCATGGACTCAGAGTTGCGCGCTCTAACGATGTCTGCAGCCGACAGATTCCGCCTTTGGCCGATTCCCGACGGGGGTCCTAACACCGTTGCCACATCGGATCATAATCATTGAGTCGCAGAATCGCGATCATGCTCCACAGCTCTAGAGACGCTCTCACGTGTGAGCTCTCGAGCGATGACCGCTCCGACAGAGCTTCTCAATTAGCCTGGACACCGACTTCACCTGAATCACCCGGTCTGAATTCTGAATCCCTCAATATCCGCATCGCCGCTCTCCATGTTTCATCTTTGTCGTTTCATGGAGAATTTTTCAGCTATCCTGATCACATTGCCAAGCTAAATTCCTCCCCTCCCCCCCCCCACCAAACTTAGAGCTGAGAGAAATCCGGAAGTAAGCTAGACCTCGTGTCGCCCCCGATGTGTCAGTTCATTTTTTCCGGAGACCTCCAGGAGAACTCGCAACCGTTGCCGCGAGGAGCTCGAAAGGAGCAGCGCGGTCCTCCGATCAGGCGCGTATTCAGGGGGGGGGCTATTGGGGGCCAATGCCCCTCCCCAAAATGTTTGTCGCCGACAAACGGCGCCCCGGAGTGAGCTCTTGAGGTCGAAACGCCCTCGAATTAATGGCATTGCTCGAATCGATCGACGATTTTTCTCATTTGCATTCATTCCGCAAGCTTGGCGTGATCGGTGACAAAGGAGGAAGCGATTTCATTACACTGATACTCCAAATAGATGGAATAATCGGAAGAGACTCTGTCGATGAATAGACTGTCAGCGACAGAGAGCTACCGAATGAGTTCGTCATTCGCAACTCGCACTTCTGCGAGAACCAGCCTCGGCCGTAATCAGCGGACATCGGTGCATTTCTGGACAGGTTTCCAATAATTGCCCTCGAAAACGGAGGAACGAACAGAAGGAGTGGCGACCGATGTTTCGGCTCGAGGTCGGAGAAAGCCTCACGGGATCGAGCGGAGCCAAATGTCGGTGCGATTCTAGGAGAATCGGTAGCGTGTGGCGATGCACCCTTTTCACCTATACCCTCTTACTCGTGTTCCAGCAAATCATGGGCATACATACAATACTGAATTCAGCTCCGCCGCTACCCTACGAAGTGGAGAGGAGCTGGAGCCCCAAGCGAGGGCTCAAAAGATCAAAGGCCTTCTCCATGGATCCTCGGCCCTGCTCCCGAAAATTCTGCAGCAAGCTCTGCGTGCTGCCGCGGCCGACGCTCGGCACAGTCGAGCCCTCGGCTTCCATTTCGCCTAAAAATGCGTTTCCTCTCTCCGATGATCTGCATGGCGGTCTTCCTAACGGTTCCCTGCCACCGGAACGATCCGTTGGGGTCTCCAACGTCCGAAGAGCCTCAATGACTTCGACTCCATTGGACTTTGATGACTTCTCCTCGATTCACATCGGCGTCAAGTGAGACTCTCACGGGACGCAGACCGACGACAGTTGTCGTACCGGCACAAGTCCTCGGAACGTATGCGACGCATCCTCGCGACCGCACAGATGTGCGAGTCAAGTCGAATTCGAGCTCGCCGTCTCGACGAAGGGAATTCTGTCGGAGATTGTGGTTTGCGATGCTGCTCCCCAACAGGGACGTAAAAAGCTGTAGCGGAGGCCTAAGGTAACGGAGCCGACGCGCAGGTATGTTTGGCGAGCACTTGTAGCGAGTGTTCCAAGGACATCCTCTGAAGGGAGTTCCTGCAGAGTGCTCCGAGCGCGAATCGTGGCTGCGCGACAAAACACGTAAACACTCAAACGAAGAGGAAATCCCTGTTCCCGCCGAGCGGCTGCCGGCCGACACGGCGACGAATGTCGACGCAGACATCGGAATCGTCGTCAAAGATTTCTTACGACTACGTAGGGAGGCGCGATACGCTTTACGCTTGCTCTCCGTGACCGACTAACCGGCTGACTGACTGACTGATCGAGTGTGGCCTGATCCATCGCTGGAGACCAGAAAGGGGCAGAGCGGCATCGCAATTATTACTTTTCGCCCAGGAATGGGCCGATGAAATGCAGTATGCATTCATTGTTCACCGACAGCCCGGTCGGTACATTCAAACCATGTCGCCTTCTCCAGATTGCGCTGTCGCTCTCGATGCAAGCGCGTTCTGTCGTGGAATTGATGCCATGTCCTCGAGGCTTACGAGGCGGACTCCTTAATCCTAATAGTCGTCGACGAAAGCCGGCGCCTTCGCTGCCGCTCCCGCTCCTCCATTCCCCTCCGAGCCAGTGCTGTTTCTAATCGTCCTTTGGTCGGAGCCGAGCTCATGACGGGAAACAGATGGATCGAGTCTCACTCGTTTCATCAGTTAAGCTAGCTGACGTCATCACTCTGCTTTGTTGCTTCATCAAATGTATCAAAGACTGCAGCCAATATCTTCAAGGGTGCGTCGGGAATTTTCCGGGAGTACGGGAGAGCAGGCGATAGACTCAGATTGACGATCTGTGTAAGTAAGAGCTCGGTGCTCCGACGACCTGAGGAGCAATCTAGAGAAGACGACCAACGGGCGAATTGTGGAGGGCATTGACTTTCATTATTTTGCAATCTCATTGGTGCGTCGAGGGAGGCATTCGTAAATAAGTTACGTCGTCGAACACGAGAGGAATTCCCAGCAGCGCGCCCCGTCGCTCGATCGGAGCGCAATATTCGATTTGAGAGCGGATATCGCATCAGAACGACCGAGCATCCACTTACCCGACGCTGCCATGGTCGAGTCTCCGCTGCCTGCGCCGCTCGAAAGATGCAGATGCACTTTGCTACCCTTATGGAAATCTCGCGATATCGTGGTGCCTTCGGAGAAAATTAATAAACATGCGAGAGCGCATTGGTGGCTTCAAGGGCGCACGCATTCTCAGAGAGCGAGAGAGTCAGCGAGTATTTCGAGGAGACCCTTTGCGAGAGAAATCTCAGATATCTATCATTTCCATTCGGGCTTGACGGGAGGCCGTGCCGCGGAAGTGCCCGATCCGCATTGTGCAACGAGGACTGCTCCGCGAACGTCACCCCGGCTTCAAGGCCGGGGCTATTCCTAACATTAACCTCGGTACATTATTATTCTGCGGGAGGTTCTATACCGATGAAAATTCGACGGAGGCAATCATTTCCTCTTCTGCGTGAATCAGCTTGTTCGCCACTCACGTGATATTCAAGCATGGAAAAAGTCCTTTAGATGCGCCTCGCCCAAGAGAGAGTCTGGAGACTGAAGATAACAAGCTTTGTGGGATGCGAGCGATTTTCTTCAGAAGGAGTGAATTCAATCAACTCCCAATTAGCCCACAGGCTGCCCTCTCAGGAGTTCTGTTATCAGATACTTCTCGCAGCTGCATATCTTCCCACTGCCATGAGCCGCTGAAAAATCCCTCGGGATCATTCACAAC